CAGTGATGGAATAATTATTTCTGCGTCTTTAAGAGCTTCAGGGTTGTATACGGCGATCACGTCGATCTAAATTTAGAGAATAGCAAAATTTAAAAAAATACTCACATTGTTTTTGTTTGGCTTTGCCGCGAATTTTTGGGATAAAGTTTCTATCTGGAAGTATAGGGTTTCTATAGTTTCTATTGTGGTACTATGCAGATTTCGCCAAAAACTCAAACAGCGGTAACCATAATTATAATGGTTTTTGCCGGTTTTGACGAGTTCTGATATTTTTTTACGGCTTTTGATGATTTTAATGCTTTTTTTCGCGGAATCTGGTACCATTACATTTGGAATGATTGAACAATAAATAAAACATACCGTGAACATGATTCCTTTCATTTAGAATGTATGGTTGTAGAATAACCCGGTCACCGAACTTCTCATTGAGGAGAAATCCCAATACATCGCCATATTGCAGTGAATTTCGCCAACGAAACATCACGACGCTATTATCCGAAGCAATATTTCTTTGTATTGAGTAGTGTGAGCCTTGATAGCTGTATTTCTCAGTAAACAAATCGCCTTTTTGAGCCAGCATTGAGTACTTCAGTGGTACATCTGTCGTTTTTTCGATATCATCATTCTCCGAATATCGAAATAGCAGTTTTCTCAGTTTCACGATAGACACATCATGTTGTTTTCTCGTTGGGTCCGAATCAAGTCTTGCACGAACTTCGGTCGTCAAATCTTGCAAAATTGCAGCACTAAAATTTTTCTACGGTGTACAATTTTATAATAAAGCATACTTCCGCAACATTCTTTGCCCAATTCCCTTTGTGATTTCTGACGATAATAGTCGTTTCAAACTGTGAAAATAAAATCTCGCGAAGATAATGCTTCCCATTGGCCTAAAGCGAAATAATTTCAAAAATATGCAAAAACGGTAACAACCTCTCGACGTAATGACTCTTTGCAAGTTGTCACAGCTCGACATTGACACAAAATCTTCTTCCGCGCAAGTGAGCTCATCTTCAGACGATTCTATAGAATCTATAGAAATTAAATCTTGCTCTGTTTTTACTTTTAGTTATACCTGATGTTAAGTTTCTCTATTTTCTGAAAATAGTTATTTTCTTCATTTTTTCTGTTGTTATCACCTGTTTCTGTCTCGTTCCGATATTCCCTATATATTTTTTTTCCATGATTTCTCGTGTGGTGTAACGATATCGCTTTCGATATGCAAATAGTTTTGAATTTTGCGACATATCTGCAAAGAAAATATAGATTTCTTAGAGCGGAGCCAGTAAAATGCACGATTTTTTTGGAAAGTATATATATTAAAACGCAATATACGCATAAAAATCGAATATGAAAAAATTCGAAAATTTTCGAAAATTGTTTTTCGAATTTAGACGTCAATTTTAATGCATGTCCGCAGTGTATAATTGTGGTGGTTACACTACTGTGATAAAATCCAAATCGTATACGATCCTTGCAATAACGTATACGACGAGGAAATGCGGATGTTTCGTATACGATTACAAACCATTCATCAGAATCGTATACGATCCTATACGATTCACATTAACTTATACGATTACCATTAACGTATACGATTTTAATTTTATCTTATACGATGAAGAAATTCGCTTTTTTCGTATACGACTAGGAATCATTTACCAGAGTTTTCGATAATTTCTTTATTTTGACCAAATATTAAAGTTATTGAAACAATGCCAATTTCTTATTTTTTTTTTCGACTGCGACATTATTCGCGCCACACAGAGATTTTTTGACTTAAAAATTCGGAAATTCGAAGTCCTGTCAATTGCAAACCCAGGAATACTGTTCGCCCAAATTTTGCAATAATTCTTATATACTATCTACAAGTCATACCATCCATACGTTAATCGTATGAAAAGAAAAAATCACTGAAAATTTGATTGAAAAAATAAGCTTATTGCGGTCCCTATTTCTGACAATTGTGAGCGATGTCTCATGTAAGAGCGTCAAGTGCGCTCTACCGCGCAACAGTAAACAACAAATTTTTAAAATTTTTAATGTTTTTTTTTTCACTTAAAAAGGAACTAATTAATGAAATTTTGTCGTTTCCCAGAAGCACGAAATATGCGTAACCTGATTTTTTTTGTTGAAAACTGATAAATGTCCGTGTTTGGTCTGAAGAATTTATCAAACGATAATGCAATCTCTAGCAAATCAAATAAAATATTTTTAGGATCCTTGAGAGGCTAACGTGTCTATAATATTTTAGATTTTTCACAGCGAACTTTTGAAAGTATTCTATGATGTTAGAATATAATAAGATAATTTAGAATTTTTTCTATAAGTTTTTGGAAATCTTGTAAAACTTAAAAAAAATGTTTTAAAGGTTTGAGTTTGAGTCTCAATAACAATTACTGTGTATCAGATAACTACAATTCCTCATTATATTTTCGAATTTATTACGGAATATTTGATTCTCAAAACATTGTTTTTTTCATTTTATTTTCGCATTTGCCAGAAAACGACAATAATTAGTATTGAGAATCTTGTTCTCATCGCATAATTTTTAGCAGTGATGTCCGGGCGAACACCAACCTATACAGGAGAATTTAGAAGGTTTCTTTTGAATTCAAATGGGAGAAGGTAATCCCCAATTGAATCAACAAAAATAAATATTCTATTAGTCTTGCGGGCGTAGAGCCAACAGTGTCGTCGAAGCCTCGTAAAAAACAGACAAAATCGAAACTAAGCCCAGTTCCCGGAGCTGGCTTAAAGCCCCCAGTTCCGGAAAGCGCTCACGTAGTTGCTAGTGACTATCTTCGAGAAAATGATGAATGTATGCTGGAGGATGAAATTGTATGTATTATGAATAATCGCTTGCGATACTTCACTATTTTAGGAATTAGTCGCAGAAAAATTGCTTTCGATGTCTGTCGAGGAATTATTGGATTACAAATGTTAGTACAATAAGTAGTTTTAAGCATATCAACTGAAAAACTAACATATCTTTGAGAGTTAATTATAACATAATCTTCCCTTATATTGCTACTAATCCTTTTTGAAGATTCAAATTTTCTTTTCAATCCAATTAAGTCGCGTCAGAAGGACTTGACTTTCATTATGCTCATCCGTCAAAACAGAGAAAGATCGTCACTAAACGCAAAAACTGTGCGAGCAATGTTAATATACAACATCTGCGAAGTGATATTTGCCGAATAATTGAACATGTTTTCAGTCAGGTAAAAAAAAACAAAAACTATTCAAAATTTTGTTTTCAGAAAATTGACGAAGATGGACAAATGTTTATTGAATTTGAAGAGGAAAAAGCAAGAAGGAATGTACTGACAAATATTTATTGTGGACAACATTTATTGCCAACCGAATGCCTGCAATACGATATTGTTAGAATTATTATGAAGCAAGATATTCCAGAATATTTCAAATGGCTATCGGCACATTTAGGGGAAAATGTAGGTTTTCTACAAATTTGATTTAAAACTAACCGATAAAAGTTTCTGAAAAGTGTTAATTTTCAGGACGTTGACAAATGTTGTTCATTTTCTGATTGCATTTGTCGTTTTCGCGGAATCAAAGCAAGATCATATTCTTTTTGTTACAATTTCTTGCATTTGATGGCTAGCAATAATTTTCATAAGGTATTAAAAAATTAATTCTAAGAGATTACTCGACAGATTTCAGTTGTTCAAAGCAGCAGTATTAGACTATAAAAGATGGTTTGAAAAACTTAACATTCCCTTCACTGACAAAAATTTAATTCATTACCAAGTGAACCATTCTAATATAGCAAATTAAATTGTTCAACAATTTACAGTTTATTTTTAATTACTGGATAAAACATCCTGAAGGAAAAGAAAATTTCAATGTGCTCGAAAATGCTGCTGAATATGGCTTGTCATGTTTTTTAGTCATTTTTCTTCAATTGAATGTTTCCAGGCCATGCGGAAACTGTTAATTTAGTGTTGTTGGTGCCGAAGATTAACAAATTTTTCACTTCGAAGGGAGGGGGATTTGATGAAGAGATTCGTAAACTATTGACAAGAGGAAATGTTTCTGGTCGATGCACGAACTTCCCATATTGCTATGTTTTGGTATATCGAATGATAATCATGCAGATTGAACATCAAAAATCTTTTCAGGATTTCTTATTTTGTCGACTAGCATATAATAAATGTTTGAATGTGTTTGACCGAAAGACTCTCAATTGGTTGCTGAACTTATTTTCTCTAGAAGAATTGCAATTTGTTCTTGCCGATGCCATTGCAGGAGGTGATTTTCTTATAATTCTCATTATTTATGAGAAGAATGTTTAGGGAATACAAGTGGAGCGCGTGAAATAATCGGAATTTTGAAGGAAGAAAATATTCAAAAACGTTTGATTTTTTTTAATTTCTAGAATATTTCTTAAAGTGGTTCAGAATACAGAGTGGAAACGAAATATGGATATGTCCATCACGACAAGAAAAGATTTGGGCTCGATTTTTCTACTTCAATTGCTCATGTGAGCACTCCAACCGCAGTACACTATGCGTGTTTGACACATAACATGGATCTGGTATGCTCGCATTTTCATTAATTTGAATTTTTATGAAAAATATTCAGCTGAAAGAATTTAACAACAGAAGAGACGTTAGGGATTTGTATGGACAATCAATTCTATCGTATTCGCTGTCATTTAATGATGTAGGCCGTTTTAGAATTTTAGGAAATATTTGTATTATTATAAATAACTAATATTGTCTACGTCGTACGACCGCTAAAAATTGGTGCGCGGGCGAACGCGCCCGGGATGCGAGGCGCGCTCAACGCGACTTGCCTCGAACTCGCGAAAAATTCTCTTAGTACTAAAGATCGTAAATCTACACTTTTAGTTTTACGCCAAGAAAACTGCCATTGTTTCTTTTTTGGCATTTAGCCAATTTTCCACAATCGCGCGACTTCGACAATCTGAAATATAATTTTTTTTAAAGAAAGATTTACGATCCATGATGTTTGAAATGGAGCAAGTAGTTGATAAAGAAGAAATGTTCGTAGTCCTTCACGAACTGATTACAATGAAACGGTAAACCAAAAATCCATCTTTTAATTTTTGGTTTTGTAATGCTAAAACAAATTTTGCAGAGACTTGGCGTACGAACAAGTTCGAAAAGTATTACTAAGCTCAAGAATATTCGAGGAAAAATCTGGATCAAAAAAATGTAAATGTTTAATATTAGCTTTGTAAACAAAATGAATAAATTTTACAGGTAAAATTAGCGATGATGCTCCACTTCCGGTGTCGAGTGCATTGAGCACAAATAATATGGAAATGGTTGAGAAATTTATGCGTATCTATCGAGATAACATGAATAATGTAAAATTTTCAAATTTTTACCCAAATATTAATTTATTTACAGACAAATAGTTACATGATCGAAAGAGATTTGATAAGATGCGCAAAGCTGATTCAACACCACACATTCAATACTTCTCCTCATAAACGACTTGCCAAGTTTCTAATGATTATCACTTTATCACCAGTAGAAAAGGTTAATATTTAAGTTTCGGTGTTTGTTATCTAAATATTTTTAGATTGAATGGAAAAATGAAGTTAGAATGAACTTAGATCAAGGTGATGAAGATGAAGTTTCAAACTATATCCTAACCAAATTTCAAACGGTAAAATATATTTTTTTAAAAACTTATAAATATTGAAGAATCGATTTCAGCGAAAGATTTGCTTCAAAAATCCGCTTGTTAATTGGGAAAAAGCACTTGAGGAAGCACGTATTATTGCGAAAGAAAATCAAATCGACATTGAAGAAGATCAGCCAAAGAAAAATTCTCTATTTAAAAGTATTCTATCACGAAAACATAATCAAATGAATGAACGGCAATGGTTTTAATACGTTAACAGTGATTTTATAATGTGCGATTGATCTCGGCTATTCATAAAATTGTATACCTTTCAATAGAATTATTAAATGTTTGGTTTCGGATAGTTTATTGAATTCAGTTGTACGAACTGATTATTATTTTAAATATTGTAATTATTTTTCGTAATATCGCGAATTTAGGATGTTGAGAAACGTTTTCGTTCGTTTTCCGGAAGTTTTTCGCCAATTCTCTTCCTCGAATGTTTCACAGAGGTAAAGTTTTCCGTTATTTAACTGCAAAAAAAAAATACAAAAATTGCCCAATAATTTAATTTTTTCGATTTTGTATTTTGTGAATAAATCCATAAAACTTGTTTTTTTACAGATCATCTGCTGTGAAGAATAAGACCGTTCGATTTCCCGTTTCGGGAATGTCGCTAAATCCGTATGCATTTTTTGTCAAAGAGCAATTTGATGGCAAGACGAAACTTGTTGCTAATCTGAAAAATGCTGAAGCTATGACGAATGTTGCAGAAGCATGGAAGAAGCTTGATGATTCTAAAAAGGAGGCAAGACTTTTATTTAAACATTGTTCATTTGGGATTTCTTTCAGGAATACAAACAGAAATCAATCTCATATCGAGAGGAAAAGCTTCAACAATTCAAACAACTTTCGGAGGAAGAGCAGAAGAAATTAATCGAGGAATCAGTGGCGCAAAAGGCGGAAAGGGCGAAAAGGCGTGAACGAAAAGCTCGACGTGAAGAGTGGGAGTCAACCGGAAGACCGTCGATCCCGCCAAACTCGTATGCACTCTTTGTTAAAGAGAAGGTTATCAATGCGAAATCTGCTAATAAGAACGTCGACGTCAATATCGTAGTTCGTGATGCGGCACAGGAATGGAAATCTCTTACTAATGCTCAGAAAAAGGTACGCATAAAATTATTTTCCCGCGCACATAGACACATTCCTTACAATATGCTTCCTTTTCAGAAGTTCACTGATGAAGCTGATAAGTTGAAAAATGAATATCATGCGAAATTGACCGAATGGAAAAGTAAAAATGCGCATAAATCTGCGTCACCATCAAAGTAAAAAAGTGTTGCTCTATTTTTTAATGTTCCAAGCTGTCAGATAACGAAGCTTTTTTTAATTTCTCGACCTAGAACTGATTTTGACATTTCTGTCGGGTATATTCGTCAAATATCTCACATTGTATTTTCTAAATACCTTTGCATTAACTTGTATTGGTAATTGATTTGTTTTCAAATTATTTACGAATAAAAACTTACACGCATATGAGTTTTTTTCCACAAGGGGTCGGCCTGTCAGTTATCCAAAGATTCCGACAAATGTGAAGTGCGACTAATTGCAATTTAATCTTTCAATTTCTCAATTGGCTGGTATACTTTTTTGTTCTTTTGGCTTTTTCTTGTCTTTTTTTGGACCCCTTTGTCCAAAGAAACGCTAGCATCCGCCAGTCTATTGTGTACAACTTCGAAGGAATTTAAACGTATCGCTGTTTCACAGTCGAATACAATCAGAGATCGATCACATCCGAATCGAATATTTTCAAAAGGAATACGAGTACATTGAATTCCAAAGAGCGTACCTGTTAATTTCACAATCAAATTCGACAAATTTCGAATCTGAACCGATTACTTTAGGAAGCGAAATTTTTTAGTGCTTTTTTTTGTGTTTTCGAATTACCAGTCGGGTGGCCCGATAAAGCTGACTTTCAATTGCTTTTTGATTGAGAATCGCCGGTAAGAATAAATCGCAAAGCTGCACATTTTAGCGTTTTTTTCAATTCATTTGTCAATTCTCGGCAATTTTTTTTTTCAATTCTCGGCAATTCATATAATCCTTTGAGTTCTTTCACATTCAAATCACCTAATATCAGTTTGTCATAAAAGTCTTCTTCTCCTCCTCCAAAGATGACCGTAAATTTTTCGTTTCTAAAATGCACACCAAACTTTCCCATGTCCTCCACCTTTCGACAAGTCTCCACAGTACGATGTTTACACAAATATTTCTAAATATGGAATCAATTCGATATTCTGACATAAGAAGAGTTAATGGAAACTAATGACGATCGTTTTAACTTAGGCGATTTCATGACGCACGCCACACATCCGTCCTTCTCTCTTCTATATAAACGAAACAATCAGTAAGAAAAATGCCAGTAGTTGCCTTTGTTCTAATTTTGAAATATAAATTCGCGATTCGTTTTTTTAGGTAACAAAAGTCATGCAGGTTACGATCTTCGCGTTTCTTCTTCTTATCGGCTCCTTCGCCTTCGCCAGTCCATCGTCATATGATACGGCCAATGAAGCTGGCTAGTTTTTTTTTTAAATTTGACTACTATAAATTGTGTCCATGAGTCCAACGACTTGATTCATTTCAGACTTGATGACTAATAATGAGAGATTCGCAAGAGATCTTGAATACCGCAAGAAATTTGCATTTGCCTTCGCGAAGAGAAGTTCTGGAGACGAAGGAGTTGTTGAGGCTCGTATCGCTGGACCATACGCACATGATCCTTCAATGCGATTTGCTTTTGCGAAAAGACGAACACCAACTGAGAGCAGTACGTTGATGATCATAATGAAAAGCTCAATTAGGGTATTCAGAATTTGCGCGATTTGCTCGGGCCAGCAGCTTCGCATAAATTCAATGCACTTTTCATTACAATTCTCAACATCTTCCTTCAATAAAATGGGCGGCAATTAATTTCATTTTTCGTGATTTCTTCGTGTTTGTTTAAAACTCAATAAATGATTCAATTGTTCTCTTCATCAAACCCATTATAAAAAAAAGTTGGCGAGTCGGAATTTCGAGAAGAGAAGTGCGAAAATCTTTTGGAATGTTAACAATGGAGCATCCGCCTGCAGTTGACAATGTAGTTTATAAATCTTTTCTTTTATTCAGCATGTACCCAAAAAATAAAAATGTTTGATTGAGCGAAGTCTAAAGAAACATTTGTATGAAGTGTCTCAAGAAAAGAATACAAGAAATCGGATAATGTATATTTGGAAGCTTTAAAAATGCATTGTTTTTCTTGATAAAACAAACATAAATATAAATAAAACTAAACGAATCGAATATCACAAGAATTTCTTTAAACTTCAACGCTAGGTACCGTGCTTCACTGAATCGATTGCCACTCATCTCCCGGCGCCGCCCTTCTGATCGTGCACCGACCACTCGCGGCCGGCCGTTGTGACCAACCCAACAAGATTCGCGTCCTTGTTTGATCAATTTTGTTTTCAAATTTTCGTGTTTTGGTTTTATTCAGCTTTTGATCAATCCAATGGACAAATGTCGTACGAGCCGCGCCGAATTGCTTCACCTGTCAATCGAACGCACTCATTCGAGGTATGGTTTTCGTGTACCATATAGTTAGAGGCCACGCCCATCATTGACCTCCGAAGATCGCAACTGTCAATTGTTGTGAGCGAATTGAATACAAATGCAGTTTTTTTGAAATTTAGATAGCAATTTCAACATCTCCACCTCTCTCACCATATCCTGATCCTGATCCAGTTGAACCATCTCGTTCACCTCCTCCACCTCCAGCTCATGCTCCGAAAAGACTATATTCTCCACGAAGAAGCGTGCATGAAACAATTATAAGAGAGCTTAGAGAGGTAAATTGATTATCAATTAATATATAAAGCTAATTAGTTAAAAAAAAATTAAAATCCAAAACGTTTAAGGCATGTGTCTATTACAATTAATCTATAGCGAATTTGCAAGATCTAGCCAGATAAAAATTATTCAAACATCCAAATCTACAGTATACCACGACTCGCAGCGGATTGGCTCAACCACCGATATCTCCGCCAGCGGCTCCAGCGGTTGCTCCGCTCGCCGAAGCCGAAACGACGTGCTCGGACGAGGCGAGCGAGCCGGTACATGAATCCTCGGGTGAGCCGTTTCTCGACAAACATTGCGAGATACATATCCAAAAAGTGTCATTCGTCCGATTTTTGCACAAAAATGTGATGCGACGCCTGAAACGATGGCCAAACGCTCTATTTCAGCTATTTTGTCATCTATTTTTTCAATTTTTTAGTAAGTAAAAACCTTAGAACTACTTTGAGTTTAAAACAGAAAAAATTTTGGAATATTTCAAGTTTTAAAATGAATCGCCTAGAAATTCCAACTCAATCTTTTTTTTAGACTTTGACAATCAGGAAGAGGAAGAGAATGTCCAAGAGCGGAATGTTGACGAATTAGACGCTCCATCACCTCCTCCAGCACCGTGTGTTCCCACTGAAACATCACAACCAATCGTTTTCCCGATTACTCCTTTTTATAGGAGAAAAGGGTTTGTCTTTTCATTAACAATACTAATGTGCATATTTAAGCACATTTTTTTTCCAGAGGATGTCCGAAATTTTCAATCTGCATTGGAGGTCTTTGCGCGACATTCTTCATCTTATCAATTATTTTTCTTATTTTCTGGCTGGTTTCCTCGTCGGATTTCCGGTCGATTTCCTCAAAAATCAAAAATGTGTGCAGTTCACGAGAATGCATTGATATGGGTGAATTGGCTTCGTACTACCAAAATAAGTCGATTTTTAAGCCTTTCGGATGTCGTCGAATATTGAAGAAAAAATTGAGCCATGTGAGAACTTCTATCAGCATTCATGTCATAAATTCAACACACAAACCGAAGATCATCAGCTCAACTTTTTGAGTCAGCTGAAGGAAAGTTCAATGACAAATATGCATGGTAATATTGCAAAATCATGAAGGGAATACATTCATAAAATTAGGATTGTTGACAAACGAAGAAAATCCCGCGGAGATGCTTAAAAGTACGAAATTAGCGAAATCATTGTACGAGTCTTGCATGAATGCTGTTCAGAGGTAATTTTCAAATTTTCAAAATTTAAAATTAATAAGTTTGTTCTAAAAATTTTCAGATCATCGAACTCTCCTGCTGACCTTCATAACCTGATTCAAAATTTTCCATGCGGTCCCATCCTACCGCAGTGCCATAATTTCAACTCGGACTCTTATAGGTTGGTGGTTACGGTAGGGTGAAGCTCGGTAAACAAAGACACGTGTCAGCGCAGTAGCGTCCCGCTAATCCGTCTTTCCTAATTATTGAGTAAACAGCGAAAGTGTTGAATAGTATAAACATTGGTGTATCCATTATCAATCGCCGTTTACGGGGAAGTAATCGATCTAATATTTTATGGAATCGTTTTGAAATGATTAAGCGCAATATATGATTCAGTTGGGAACGACATTCTGGAATGCTCGACTGGTATGCAGGAGATTATAATCTGATCGTCTATGGAAGAGATGTTCATCCACAAGATCGTAGTAAAATCATTCTTCAGGTTCAAATAATTGTCTAAATGAAAATGAATTGTTCAATCTAGATAAGACCTCCGAATTTGGAGAAAATGACTGGGCAAATTCTGCGAAATTTGCTTGAACTCGCAAAACCTTCAAGCACTGAGTTTGAGCCGTTGTTCCAGCTCTCTTTGCGTCAAAATCTGCTGAATGATTTTGTGCGCTTTCAGCTTTTGCAGGATCCGCGATCTGTTCAGTCGGATCTTGACAATGTTGCTCGACTTATTGTTGATCTACATGCGGCGACTAGAAAGTCAGCGACGATTACACCCAATGCAACTTATATGACAATTAACGAACTGTCTCAAGCCCTTCCACAAGTACGTTAATTTTCTTTATTTTTTTCTAAAATATATTTCAGTTGTTCTTTCGCGAATTCCTCGACGCCTATTTATCAAATATTTACAAGTGGACCGAAGAGGATTTGATTTCGATTCAGGACTATGAATACTTCGCACGACTTGTTGATATCATGGCAACGTATGTCTCCAGCGTTTGTTATAATATTAAAATAATATATAATTATCGACAGAACTGATAGAAAAACCGTGGCCAACTATCTAGTAATTGCGACAACATTTAATATGGAGCAATATTCGTATTCCCCTCGAGAGCAATTCGGATGGCGAGAATGTGTTGATCAAATTTCACGACTTGACATTGCTTCGAAATTGTTCATTGATAAAAATGCAAACATTATCGAAATTGAGAAGGTTGAAGCGTGACAGATAATCGATAATCAAATTATATTTAGATATTCGAATTTCTGACAACGCTCAAAACCGATTTCATATCTACACATAGAAGTACGCCGTTGCAGTACTTGTCGACAATAAATCGTCTCGGATTTTATGTTGGCTACCCAAAAAGGCTGCAAAACGAGGACATCGTGTGGAGACCCGTTTCTCAATTATCAACCAATCAGTCAAATTATTTCGATTCGATTATCCGTGTGTCAAGAGCCGAAAGAGAATATTCGCTATCGCAAATTGGCACCTATTTGGATATGTATTAAACATTTTAATATTTCCATTTTTCTACTTTTTGCTCATTTTAGCGATGATACAACAGAATTCCCAGTAATCAATCCAACGATGCTCTATAATTCTCATGTCGGAGCCATTGTTATTCCATTATCATTCTTGAAACCGCCAATTCACCAGCCAGATGGAGATGTGCCCATGTACGCAGTATACTCGAGTCTGGGAATCACAATACTTCAGATGATTTCAAAAGTTGAAGATGTCTACAGAAACGCGAGTAAATAAAAGACTCTTTTTTAGGTGTTTTGGGATGGACTAGACAAATCGTCGCAACTTCAATGTCTTGACAATGTTTACAGAGGATTTTTGAACGGAAACAGGCAACGAGCCGCGAATTTAGATGTACGTTGCACATTTCCTTTCTAACCAATTAAAATTGATAATTTAAGAATCAGTTATTCTCAACCATCGAGTTGTCCGATGCTTTCAAAACCGCTATTTATTCTTATACAAAATGGCAGAATGATCGTGATATTCATAGGGTGAAATATTTTTTCAACCATACGCAAATCATGATTTTCAGGAGAAATCTTTGCCTGCTTTTGATAATCTTGATAGTGTGAGTTCACTTATGCTCACTTTCTCAACGGTAACATTTGTTTTTCGATATCCGATTTATAGCAAATTTTTGAAGTTGTTCTGTAGCAACGAAGGACAGGAGCCAGGCAGTGATTATGAAGCAATGATCAACACTGTGGCAGCAAACTCAAAAATGTTCACAATTCATTTCAATTGCAATAACACTAGTCGAATATTTAACCGACGCACATGTCTATAGAATTTGTTCAGTTATTACTACTTTTCTCAAAGAAAAAACTTAAATTAACTCAATAAATCCTTATCAATAGAGAATTTTACCTCTTTACTTTGTTTTTATTGATTGCTTTTGAGATTTACTCTTTGAGAAATGCTACCCTTTGTCTTTCAATTTAATATATATGTATAGTATACACTAAAATTAATAAATTTTTTTTTCGAACAACAAGAAACAAAAAGGGAGGAAGACAACATAATAACCGGTTTATTTTCTACATGAATATTAAATATTTGATATTAACCTCGAAGGATTTAAGCAAGTGACTTCTCGAACCATCTGACCATATTGATGGTGTAATCAGCTTCGACATTGATTTCATCAAGGGGATGGTTCGATGGAGGATATGATAGAACTCTGAAAAGGTACTAGTGTGAGAAACACATTTTTAGATTTGCTCTTACTTGCAAGGCACTCCTCTAGCCTTTAAATTCCTAACAAAAGCGCGGTAATGCGGTACAACTCTCAAATCCTTTTCTCCGATCAGAAGCAAATATGGGGTCACCGCATTTTCGACGTGGGCAATTGGCGATGACTGCCACATTTTCTCGCGTTGCTCAGCATTTGCAGTTTTGCTCCAATCTGGATATTCTCCGGTTCCTTCAAAGAAACACCATTCTGGAATGTCAGTTATATCGAGCATAGATCCGATATTGACAACCGGATTGAGAGCAACGCACGACTTGTAGAATCCCTGAAAGAATAATTAAAATTTAACTACCATAACAACATTTTCATAATTCATTACCGGAAATTGTCCGATCAAATGAGAAACGAGAAATCCGCCATGAGATCCGCCGAAAAGAACCACCTTGTCTTTTGAAATGCGCGGTTCTCTTTCAAGTGTTTCAATCACAGCATTCTGAAATTCGAATTCAACGAAAAATGCAGCTTTGGGCTTACATGAACGTCGTTCACATCTAAATCCCCACAGTTTCCAGGTAATGCTCGAATAAAATCATCTCCAAATCCAACCGATCCTCGATAATTCACTTGAAGAATGGCGTAGCCTGAGTTCAACAGCGTCGTAATATCTCTACGAGGCCAGCACGCCAAAGATCCTCCGTGGGGTCCACCGTGGGGATTGACAACCATTGGAAGGTTATGCCCCTCGTTAGGAATCATGAAAATTCCTTCGTACTTTCCGGTATTTTCGTCACCAAATTCCACAAATTTCCAGGAATAATCTATGAGATTTCTACGCTTCTCAATAGCCTTCGCTTCGTCCAATCGTACCCAAACAATCTCAAATAAAATTTAATAAATTTGTAATAAATTATGTAATTAGCCTTACTCTTTCGGCTTGTCCCTCTGGAGGCAATTGCCCTAAAAGAACATTTGGTGGACGATTGGGAGCAGATACAACTGCCAGAATTTCATCATCATGAACATCGAAAAGTTGCCATGTTCCGTGACATTTTCCATGATTCGTCAATTTTTCAACGTTTCCAGTTTTAATATTTATTGCAACGATTTCCTTCAAGAAGCTTTTTTTGTATTTTAAAGATAATATTTTACCAATTTGCTCTTCCACATTGTTGTTACAATAATTCTTTCAGAGTCTGATGACCATGTACGTGCAGCAAGCTAAATAATATCGTTAAAATCGTATGGGCCATCATGCGATTAAAAATTTAAAAAATACTCAATAATAAAAAATACATGTTTCCGATATTCTGGCATGTAAAAATGCCATTTAATGTAAAAGTTTACATTTTTTGTAAAAAAAATGCAATTAATGAATATGTCCATATTTTACGTAAATATAGTGAAGATACAGATCCGTATTTTATTTATTTTACCTGCAAGAAGCACAATCCTTGAAAAGAATCGCCATCGCTTTGTTGTTTCACAATTTCTACAGCAACGTTCGGACGTGAATCACGATTTTCCCAATCAACCTAAATTAAGTATAAATTTAATTTTTAACAAAAAAATTAAATAATTTACCGTGACCATTTCTAAAACAGCTTGGTGTGGCCCATCAGATTTTCTTTGGAAATAAACCAAATTTTTTCCATCTGGCGAGAAGCTGAGCATTTCAGCAGAAATGCCCTCTTCTCCAATTCTCGTCAATTTCGCACTTGGCAAGTCGTAATAATACACGGATCCTCTGGAAAAAATGTTAGGTTCACTTAAATTAGTTTTTAATAATTCAATTACTTTCGGTTATTGCAGTAAATGCGGCCAAGTCTTGGAGAATCTCCTTCTTCAAGACCGAAAAAGACAACCCCAGTGTCTCCAGGAGCCCAAGTAACAAAAGCTGGCGAAATGTTAGACGGTATTTCATCGAGAACCGAAACATTTCCAGACGAAACATCCACAATTCCAATAACCGGACGGCGAACCGCATCATTTTGTTCTCCCCATGATTCGCGAAGTTCAAATTTCTTTCCCTTCAATTATATGATAGTCTGTTTTTGTATATTGCTTGATTCAAAATTCTTACCACTTTGCTTTCGAAAACCTTTGTCTCGTTATCCCATTCGATGTCAGCGTCAAAGTATTGGGCAGCTTTCACATTTCTCTCAGCAACATAAAGCACGTGACCTTCTCCGTGAGAAAATTTAAGAGTTCCAAATGGAGAAGACCCAGCTCCGTGAATAACTCCATGTTTTTTCTGAGTGGTCAAATCGGAACACAAAAGTTCGATATGATCACTTAAATCGTACACCTTAAGATATTGCTTCTTTTCTTCACCATTCGGAATTGTGATCAGCTGAGCAACTTTCGAACTGTCCGCCGTATAAGCGATCGCTTGAGCTCTAAAATTATAATTTTTCATTTTTTTTTTCAAATTTTTAAATATCGAATAAAAAATTTGAAGAATATTACATTTTAAAAAATATATATTTAATAAGAACATAACAAAATGATCTTACTCAAAATTGCACAGCGGCGATGACATGGTTGTCATCAGGTAACGATCTTTAACATCCGGCCCCTTGCTTCCAATCACACTGAATCTTTGGTGTCTAGTTGTTTTGTTCATTTGAATAGCTCGATTGTCCCAGATACTGAGGATCTGAAAACCCCGAAAATGTGTCAATGAGAAAAAAGAATAACACTAACTTCAATGATATCATTATCCGATTTTTTACATATTCTTCCATGACTGGCCAATGGAATTTGGGCCAAATCTCCATACAGGTCTTTGAGTTGTTCCAATGCCTTCACATCGTATTGCTCGATTGTAGAAGCCATCACTAAAAAATCAAACTGTGGTGTTCAGTAAAAATAAGATGTATGAATATGATTGTTGTTAGTTGTGGGCTTCATAATTTAGACACCTTTTCCCATTATTTTGTGGTAATGAATATATCGCTTCGAAACTCTTTGAATCCATCTGTTCATCTATTTTCGTATTCGTAATGAAATGATTTCAAATCATAAAATACTATATGATGGCTAAAACCACATAATTCATCAAACTAAAGATGCAATTGAAAACGTTTATACTGCAACGAACAATAACAACTATTATAAAAATAACAACGATTATGGCAATAAATTATTTCAATTCTTCAATGAGATTCTTCTTTTCTTCTGTTTTTGCGTCGTGTTGGCTTCGGAACGCCTTCGGAAGAGTTTCAACTTCATGAACACTCACATCTTTTTGATCAACAAAAGTGTTTGCCTCAACAAATACGTCCAAATCGATTTCCACATGAGACTTGGAAACCTACAAATAGATATTTTGATACCAAAAAAGGTTAGCAGGTAAACTGCAAACAGTGAGATCATAACTACGTAGTATGTAGGAAATACATATAAGATCAGAAATCGAACAAGCGACGAACCTCATCTGTTATCTCGCTTTCCTCTGAAGTATCACATTGATCATCATCAGAACTATCGGAGCTATCCGAGTCACTGGATTCTTCTAAATCTTCGACAATTTCTATGTCGTGCCCATCTTCGCCATCTTTCGATAAATTCTTGTTAGCTTCTTCTATTTGTGGAAAAAATGTCTTCAGTCTTAAATTAATAAGATTTTCCATAAAATGATCGCGTATTGCTTATACCTTGTTACTAAATTCGACCGCTCAACAGGTTCAATCTTTGGTTTACCTGATAACTGCAAATCAATACTTTTCTGAGGGTCTGTCATCTGAATTTAAAAAAATAATTTTTTATTCTCTTCTAATGAAGATATTTCAATCGATAATGAACGAAAACGAAATATGGCAATAAACAAGTACTGTATATATGTCTTGTTAGCATTTATTTGTTTGCTATCCGTTAGCATTACGCACATTATACACAGGAAAAATAAAACACCAGCGGGATATTTAATAAATAAAATAGGAATTAGAATGCATCATTCCAAGGGTTTAATGAGATGCGCATGACGCTCAGCGATAATTGAATCTTCAGGAACTTGCGACATTTTAAGATGGAGCACTGCAGCAGGAGCAAGACCGATTTGAGCCAAAGTTTGAGTCTCATCTTCAAGAATCTGGTTTGAAGCATCAGCAATTGAATATTCACAAGCAGAAGCAGCATCAGAAAGAATTGAAGCCACAAATTCTCGTACAGCGGAAAATGGCTCATATGTACTAAATACTCCCTGAAAAAATGTTTTATCGGTTTTTTTTAATGAATAGATTGATTAACCTGTATGAGTAGATTTCCGGGACATCGAATGCGAATCAGGGTATACTTGTATTTATAATTTCTCAATTGTTCATCCCTCATTCGCATCTCTTTGGTTCTCAACGAGAAAAGCTGAAATTCGTTAAATCATTTAATTAGAAAAATAAATATATAATTATCAAAACCTTTTCCGTTTCTTGTTCCCTGAGCGCCTGTTCTTTTTTCAATTCTTCAGCAGTCAGGTTGAAGAAATCGTTTGACAATTGAGGTGTTTTAATCTTTTTATTGCCATCAGTTAAGTAAATTTGAAGATTTCTTGACACTTTGATAGGAACAGATTGTCCATTTCGTAATGATTCAAGAGCATCACACAAATGAGCATCTGAACCTCTTGTGAAGACGTAGAATGTCTCTCCATTATTTTCTTTCTCGGTAAATCCGACGCTTTTAAGAAGTTCAATGCCTCCGACGGCACTCGCAACTCTTTCTTGGAACGCTTTATTCCCGGCGCGAATCGATCTATATTTTTCTTCATCAGGATGCTCAAGAATATTTTGCAAATATTTACTAATCGTTTCAATCGCGATCTGAATGGTGAATTTTTGAAAAAAAAAACATACAACTTTCACCTACATCTTTCACAGATTTCTTGTTTAATGAATGAATCATGAGAATCGCAGCAATAACTCTGTCTTCGTCTTCATCAGCCGTTTCAACTTGTTCGCTGAGGAATGCCTGAAGATCCTTCATCAACTCGGATTTGGGCTTCACAAAATCGTCTCCAAGAAGCTCGCAGGTATAGAATACTTGTTCAATAGCTGATGAGTGTTCAAATTCCCTTTCGTCAATTGTTACTCTTAATATTACAAATGTTATTGATGACATAAGAAAAAAAATAAACTTTTGGATTTCAGCAGTAACTAATTCTTCCCTTTTCTTTCGTTCTTCTTCTAACTCTCGTTTTGCGATCATTTGAATACGTTTCTTGCTCTTATCTTGTTGTGTTGTTTCATTTTTGTACATCCGCTTTAAAGCAGCTTGCGCTGCAATATCGGCAGCAGCCTGTCGATCGATTTGACTTCCTTGAGAAGTTCCGGTAACAATCGAAGGCTGGGAAGAGCTTTCTCCCGAGTTAAGACGTGTCCCTTCGCCACTCTTTTTGAAATGATTCTGGACTTTTTTTCTGTTTAGAAACTTCTTGAATGAATTCATTCTTCTTTTCTTGACTTGTTTTCCTTCTGTTGTTCTGCTTTAAGTTTCTCTACCCTCTCCTTATATACGAAATCTTGGATGATTGGCGAATAAATCCTCCAAACTACACAAGTGATTACCAACGCCACGAAAAGGATTAAAATAAAGATGATGGCAATAAGAACCTTAACACAAGCTTATAAGATTCTGTCAGAAAAATATTAAGTACCTGTTGCTTGTCCAAATAGTAAGCGTCGCTAAAATCAGAAACGATCTTTTCGATTTCTTGAACAAGTGGATGTGACGAATAGAAATAATATTTTAAGTTTTCACTCGAAATAACTTCTGTTGGAACAATCGGCAATGGAAGATCTTCCGTTCTCTCAACAGCGACTTCCGAGTTTACCTTAATACTTTCTGCCATACACCGAGAGTACAACGACTGAAAACCGTAAAACTTCAAAATATTTCGCAATATTATAAAATTGGCAAACAAACGTTTTAACAATTATTAACAAGATTTTTTAATTTGCCCGATATTCTAAACTATAAAAAAAATTAACCAGTTGTCTTTGCACTAAACTTAGTGTAGATTTGCGGGCCAATGTATAAGTATAGGTTAAAAGAGTACCGCGCAAGACCTCTTTTTAATTTTTTGGCATTTAGCCAATTTTCCGTAGTCGCGCGACGTCGAGAATACAGCAAATTTTTACACATTCTTCTGATATCTACTGTATTTAATTTCCAATGCTCTTCATGACAATATTATTTGAACGATAAGAAATTATAAACTAAATTCTCTCTCAACAGTAAATAAACAATTAAATTAAATATGAAACAAATTTCTCGAATAATTTTAAAATCACCCTCTATAAAATGCGAAAATTGTGATGTATTGTCCGCAATTTAAAAAACTATGCGGTTATTGCGCAAAACTCCACCCACTTGAAGGCGCCGCATTTTTTTGTCAATTTCTCAGTGATGGCGTCGTGTTTTGCTTCTTCTCCCAAATTATATTCGGGTTCTTGTAAAAAAAATGATGTAGAATCATATTTGATAAATACTTGTCATGTTCATATATTCAATTACAATCTTTTGGATAAGTTTTTGAAGTTTTTAGGAATTTCGAAAACTTGCAATAAAATATATTTCACAACAAATATTGTTTCGCTGTAGTAATAAAAAAATTCAATATAGACATTTATTTCTGTTATTATACATTTTATCGTTGGCTAAATACGTCAGGAAAAAAATCAATAATTGCGAAATTGATATTTCTCTCTTCCCTAATTTCTCATGCGTCATCGTTCCGGGAGTTGTATTTAAGCCAACAACCGTTGTCTGTTTATTTTAGATGCAAATAGATTTATCTTTAAAGATTATATATTTACTAATCAGTTGTTATTTTTTATTGATTTTATTTCAGCCAACATGCCGAAGAATAAGGGAAAGGGAGGAAAAAATCGCAGAAGGGGAAAGAATGAAAATGATTTCATGAAAAGAGAATTGGATCTGAAAGAAGATGGCCAAGGTAGTTACTTAAGCCATATTAGATTTACAAGTTGGCTGTAATTTTAGAATACGGTCAAGTTTCAAAAATGCTTGGAAATGGGCGTGTGCAAGTTTTTTGTTTCGACGGAAAGCAGCGAGTCTGCCACATTCGTGGAAAACTGCGTAAGAAGGTCTGGATCAATGTTGGAGACATCATTCTCATCGGTCTTAGAGAATTCCAAGATGACAAGGTGTGATTTATAATCTGTAATATTTCTCAACGTTATTTTAGGGAGATGTTATTCTAAAGTACACCCCAGATGAGGCTCGGCGGTTGAAGAACGAAGGAATGATTCCAGAAAATGCGAAGCTCAATGAAAATGATGAGCAAGATGAAGGAGAGGTTGAATTCTGTAAGTCGTCAGTTTTTCTGAAAATTGAATTCACTTATATTTTTAGTGGATCATGTTGGAGAAGATGCTGAGGAAGATTCTGATAAGGAATCGGAAAGTGAAAAAGAAGACAGCGATGAAGACGATGACGACGACGATGACGATGATGACGAAGACGATGATGATGATAAAGACGATGACGATGATTCTGATTCGGATGATAACATTAGAGAAGAAGACTTGGCTGCTGGTCGTGGATTCAAAGATACTCGTGGTCATCGCGGTGGAAAAGATAAATATGGAAAACGGCGTTAGGTCTCTTCTCTTTTCTCTAATTAACTTGTTCGCGGTTTAAATAATGCCCTTTTTCTTAATTTTGGAGGGTTTCGGCATTATTTTCGATTGGTTCAAGTATTTTGGTATCCCATCTTGGCACGGTGATATTCTTGGATATCTCGCTTTTCGTATTACAATTTTGTTAAACTATTTATGAAATGTTTTGTTATCAAATTTCTGATGGATAAACAAAATAAATAACTGTTGAGTGGGTGAACTGAATATTTGCTCAGATGTAAGAAGATACCGGTGGACAAATATATCGAACCAAATTTGGTTATGCGATTTTCTCGTGTAATTGGTTTGACGCGATATGCAGACAGAACCGCCGCCGACAGAACCTTCGGTGAAACATGATCGAAACCTCGTGCGGTTCACACACTATTTCGTATTTCAAGTTGTCAAATAGAGCACATGCGTGAGCACCAGCAGCTCGCCTCAGGTATTTGCTATAGTTTGCACTCATTCTCCGTTTTCATGAAATTTTCGAAATTTAGTGTTTCGTGCTGATCAAGGCTCCCGGTTTTTATTTGTTCGCAGCCGACATCGCACCCTCTAATGACGGGTTGCTACCATGTTCAGATTACGTATTCTGGTTATATATTTTGTATTACCGTATTAGAAACAGTTATTCTACCCCGTCCCATCTCCCTTTGAGTAGATGTCAATTTTATTTTCAAATTTGAAATTAAAAACTTGCATTCATTTATAGCATTTTCAGATGCAAACAGTGGGCATGCTATTAATTGTTCATTTTTATGCCATTCTGGTATTATCAATATATACATATAATTTATTCCTCTATTTTTCATGATTTCTTTCCCCAACGATAACTCTTACTAAATTAATTATCTTGTATTACTCAGCAATTGTTTGAATATTAATCAAAAAACGAATTGCTCATTTCCCACCGGAATTCGTTTATCAGGCTCCATTCCATCAGAAGCCTTATATTAGTAGTTTGTTGAGCTCATTCTTGTGCACGTTTCCCCATAGCAACTGCGAGAGAATTGACCTTGTTTTTTATTCCGTCGACGTCTACATGCGCGGCGAAGAAAGACAAAACAGGAGCCAATATAATTTATTTTCGCCTTTACCCCAATTTTCTATTTTTTTTTTCTATTGATCAATTTTCTATTGATATTCAAAATATCGGTTCTAATTAGAATGACTACATTTTTGAAATTTTGACATGAAAAAACACTTTCAAGTTTTGAAAAAAAACTGCCTAACAATTTAAAAATGCGTTTATTACTAAATCGAAATTTAAATACCGCCCAAAAAAATCGATGGTCCACAATTACGAATTTTTGTGATTGCCATATATGTGTAGTCAGGGGGGGGGGGTATGATAACTGAATGTGATCACTGGATTGCTGCATTGGTCTCGTATGGAAAATCTCTTAGAAACGACTTTTGCTTTATTTAACCGTAATAATGTGAAAGAGCATAATTTTTAAACATAAATGTGAAGTATTTTACTTGTTTTTAGAAGTTTCAAATGACGGGTTATATGAACATTTTATTTTGCGGAAAAGTCTAGTTGGAAGCCTTCAAATTTGTCATATTCACTTGACCGATGTGTATTAGACCATGTTCCGAGCTCCGTTTCAGCCAAAATTATAATATTAAAATTTTTCTGCGCCCCGTCGCGTAAGAACAGACGATTTCGAAATTTTTGATCCCAGCATTTGCTTGTGAACAACTCAATTACGTAACAGACCAATTTCCTCAATATTTGTCTGAAGTAAACTATATTCGTCACTTACTTAAAATAGATACAACTTCTTATTTTATTTCGACGAAGCTTTGAATTCCATGTAACGTGAAGTTTTCAAGTAAGAATTCGTCAAAAGTTCGTTTTTTCTTAAGTTTTTTATGAGCAACCTTTTGATACTAAATGATTTTTTGCTTATACTTTTGTTAGTTTTTGAAAAAGTTAGTTTTTGAATTTAAGCATATCAAAATGATGATTTATATTGTTCATAGAGGGCGTGGCATTTTTGGAAAACTTCAATTATTGATAGCCAGCCAATTGCAGTGTTGAATTAAGAACCACTTAAAATCTATGTGTGCTTATTTTCATGAGTTTTCGTAGATTTGTTTCGTCCAAAAGTGGATTTTCAAATGCATGACAGTCAGACATCAGTCGCCAATTTTTTCTTTCTCGCATTTTTGTGTTCTCCATTCCACACGTCCCTTTATTGGGAATTTTTTTCTACGAAATTAATTGTTCTAATTAGAACGAGTTGTTAAACTGAATCTTGTCTTGACTGAAGCATTTCCTGATCAAAAATTGTTTAATCCATTTATTATTTTTTTTTTAGCAATATATAATATTGTTCTGAAAATTATTATTCATTGATTTTTAAAATATACTTTTCATGAATTTTATAATTGACAGAAAACTCAGGATGAGTTTCATTTCAGGATGGATGACACGCGGATGAAGCTATTCATGCAATCAAAAAAAATTTTTTAATTCTGTTTTTCTAATCCCTGCATTGAAAAAAAAGTATAATTTTTTTTACACTATATTGCACGAATGGGTTCAAAAAAATGCAAATATTTTCAGGAAAAATACAAATCGAAAAAAGCAAAAAATAAATACGGCGGACACCCAGAAATTCTCTTAAAACCAATAATGGTTCAAACGAAAAGAGTGCTCCGAAACGCCCATTTTTTTTCGAAATTTCTTTTCAATGATTCTTTATTAGGGTCAAAATCGTTTGATTTAATCTGGAAAATACAACAAGTCTACTTTTGTGATAATTTATATTTCTTGTTCGCAACAAATTTAGGATTGAATTAATATTTTTCAACATCAATTTTTTTCAATTGTTTGCATATTGCCTGAGTATCGGAATTGAAAACAAAAATTGGGAATAATTGGGCTTTTGGAACAAAAAGTAGCATATATGTAGCCATGACAACTAGTTCATCATTTTCCTTTCTTTTTTTTTCTCGTTTATTCGTTGCCGTCACAATTTTCTCACATTTTTCGAGGCCGCTCATAAATTCTACCGCAATAAATCGTAATTGTGCAGACGTAAAGTTAATCGTCGACATTACTTGATTCTGCACAATGTGATTTTTGATTTCAATCAAAAACTATTCCTATTTTTGCATTTTTTAAAGGATATTCTACGGAAATATTAAAAAAAAAAACAAAATATTGTTAGAAAAAAACTAGTCTAGTGAAGAGCATGATTTACCTAGGTCGCTAAATTCCCTAAAAACAATAATATTTTAAGCTTCAACCTTTTCTTGATGTTTTTTTTTCTGCTGAATAATTATAGTGATATCGTATTACCTCAAGGGGTACAGAACCACGTGGGTCCATCTAAAACTCACAATATTCACTAATAAAAGTACCAAATTATCGCCATTCTGATAGATAAATTTGTGTTTCAAAAAAAAAGGCGGCTCTTTAAAAAAAACTTATATTAGTAAATAAGCGATGATCGGTTATAATGAGGACCTTTTTTTACTGATTGTTTAGAACCATATCGTTATTGTCACAAAACTATTTAATCATAGAGTCGATATTCTCGAATAAACTCCCTTGAAATCGAATCGGCGATACCCATATGATATCCTATGGATATTCACATAAATTCACCAATAATCTCGACATTTGAATGCCTATTCGGGGACGATTTTTCGCTTTGCTTTTTAATCTTCTGCTATATGTGTACGTATTTCATCATGAATTATTAACAAGAAACATTTGTGCTATTTGAAGTTGTTTTTTTTTGTGTGGGTTGTCGTCGAGAAATCTTAAAAAGTTGTGTGATACCTCATAAAAATGTTTTTTTTTTTTTGTGAAATTCAAATCACTTTTTATTCAATTTTAGATCATTTCTGGTAAAAAATTTGCTAGTACGTGATTTCCTCGAATGAATTTCCTGTATTCAATGACATTTCCCTTTATTATAATAAAATGTTTCCATTCAATGATATAACCAACTAAATAATTCGTTTTCAGAATCGAACGAACTGATCAACTTTTTCTGTGCCAACTCTATTAAACGAGCCAAAAAGAGAGAGAAATCCTCGATAAAAAAAATGGGAGGACCGCTGAACAAACATTGAAATTTTGTGCCACAGAATATTGCAATATGAGTATGTTTTTTTTCGTTTCTCCTATGTGTATATGTGACTATGTGCTGACGGGAATGAGGCGTTTTTGTGTTGTATTGTCATTATTATACAATTTTGCTGGACGGGCACCAAATAGAAAAAAAGAAGAAGAAGAAGCAGAAAAATATTGGTCTTTTTTTCATGAATTCTGCCGATTCGAAACACTTTTTGTAAAAGCAATTCAATTCGTTCACTGGTTTCTATTGAATTCTAATGCTAGCTTGCATCTAAAAACATACATTTTCATTACAAGTCGTGATAGAAATTGCACACGAAAAACAAAAGTATATCCTGTGAGAATATCCCTGGCGAGCTTTTCAATATGTTTTTTTTTTAATAAAAACTTTACTTTTCTCTTTTTCGTAATGCGCTTTTTGAGTTAGTTGATCAGAGCTTCTGTTTTATCTTTTTTAATTGTCATTCGATGTCCATAAGTTAGAGATCAAATATTTTGAGAATTAGAATACATATTTTCGATTCGTTCCCTGAACTTTCAATTGAAGATGGTTTTTCCTCGAATGAAATTCTTGGCGTTTACATATTGAAAACTTTCGAGCTCGATTCTGACTCATTCCTATTTCATCACACAAATTCTGCGCATACCAGCATTGAGCATAAGTAAACATTTTTTCAATGTTTACAGTTCTTTTTTGCTCATGAACGCATGTAGTAATCGAAAGTTGAACACGAAATTTGTGAATGGATTTGTGAGCAATTTCGGCAAGAAAATGCGCGCTTTTGAACTGTGAAAGAGAATAGGTGCAAAACTAAAAATCGTTGGCCGTTGTCCACTATTTTTGTGTGTGTCTGTCACTACCAAGCATCCTCAATTGTAAACGAAATAGTAAGTAAAACCTAAGAGAAGCAGACACATTTTAACTTCTTGGCAAACATTGCGACTAAAGGCACAGACCATTCGTTTCGATCCGAGGAGATTCCCTTTTCTACCTTGTATTCATCGATATTCAAAAAATAACCCCAAAAATTCCGTATTTGTCTTGTTGAGCTCTTTTCGGATTTATTCTTCGACATAAATATATCACAAATTATTTGTTTTTGTCTTCAAATTGCTACGGAAAATCCAAATAAATTACTTGCTTTTTACTGTCGCTTAGCAATTTTGCGCGTCCCGAAAAATGTCAGCTGCATTTCCATTCACTCGCACTATGAATCCAAAGCGTCGTAAGCCAAATTCGAAATCATCGAAATCTTCAAAAGTTTCTGGAAAATCTGCCGAATCGAACTCTTCGAAAACTTCAAAAAAATCGAAAGTATCGAAGAAATCGACAAATTCAAGAATTTCGAAAACCTCGAACAAACTGCGAAAAGGAGTGGAAAGGAGTGGAAAAAGAAAACGAATTGTCAAAAAAAGAAAAACTCGAGTTTCTCGCGGTGGGTTTATTTTAACATTAATTGCCTATGTTGAAAATTGGACATTTTGTTTTCAGATTCTGTCTTTTCTGAACTACAAAACAAATATATTTTACCCATAAATTTATCGTAAAATTCTTTAGTTTGATTTCGTTTTTTTCTGTTGAGTCTTTTACCGCAAACATTGAAAATTCAAACGCTTATCTCTAATGGTGATTCATACTCGCAAGAGCTGAAGGATGTTAGGTTGATAAGTTATTGTGTATTCATTTCAATCGGCAATTCGATACCATATTTATTCATTTTCAATATTCAGTTTTAATTTTTCATTATTGAAATTACGTTTTTATCAGCAAAAATAATTCGATTTTTTCAAATTTAGAATTATTTTTATGAAATTGTTTTGTAAAGCGATAATATTAATATTTAAAAATACGTAATAATTGTTCGTTTTCCGTTATTTCAAAAGTGAAGCCTACTATAATTGATTTCGGATATTCCGCTTGATTGTGCACCCAAGTAGGCGGAGCATTACGTCACACATCCCAAAATAAAACGGGCGAGAAATATAAATAATCAGGATAATTCATGTAAGCGGAATACTGAATTTATCAAATAAGTGCACACCCAACATGGAAACATCAAGTCTCAATAGCCATTTTGTTTGTTTCCTGTGACGACCGGCCAGCTTCAATGGGTTCATGACCCATGCGTGTTCGCGCTCCTCTTCTATTTGTCCGAATCGCTAATCCGTTCCAACTTATGCAAATTTTCGAATAGTGCCCGCGTTTCTACAAAAACGCATTGGCCGACAAACTCTCATCTTTGCATTTCATGACAATGCCACACGAAGACGCAACTGATTACGACGAGTCATTATCATTTCTGAATCATCGCCGTTTTTTTTTCTGCTCACATGTACACTATATTATTTTTGTTTCAGCGGCTGTCGTGCCAATAAAACATCCGAACAACGAGTTCTTTCACGAAGACACTCATAAATCTACAGAAGGTGTCGGAATTTATTTGCGTTGTTACGAAAATCGAATTTCAGAGAAGAAGCCAATGTTTAGCTGGCTACCATGCTGTTCAGGATCTTCATCCGTAGGTGATCAGACCCCAACTGAGCGACGATTAAGAGCAAATGATAGGGAATATAATTCACAATTTAAATACGCCGTATGAGGATTTATTCATATAATATCTATTTAATTGTTAAAATTTCAGGGAAATTACATCAAAACGTCAAAATATAATGTTATAACCTTCATACCGCAAAATCTTTTCGAGCAGTTTCAAAGGATAGCCAACGCCTACTTTTTAGTGCTTATGATATTACAAGTAAGTATCGAAAATGTATTAAAAATTAACAATGGAGCATTAATAAAATGAATTTTACTGGTTGATTTCGTAATTTTTTAAGATCATTGAACCCCTTAAAAATTACTGCAAAATTGGATTTTTTAAATTAAAAAAAAATGCTTAAAAACTTTAAAAAGGATAATGGGATTTAAAGTTTCCAGTCAAACTCGAAAAAAAGTGGTTTAAAAAGTCAGATCTGAAAAAAATGGAAGCACGCGAAAATTCGTGAAAAAACAGTGACTCAAATACGACAGAAAAACTCACAAAATACATATCTCATTTTAATTTTTTTTCCGATTACGCGCGCCCGTATCCTCCTAGATTAACATTCACCGGAGGCACCGGACTCCAACAAGTAAGCAGTTTACCTCGAATTTTGAGGACGCTTTTTTTAAATGAAAAAAAAAACAATTGGAAAATGTAAAAGAAGTAAAAGAAAAAATCACATATGTATTTTATAATAGATTAAAAAACTTTTTTTTTTCAGTTCATACCCCAAATATCTTCAATTTCATGGTATTCAACAGCAGTTCCTCTTGTGATTGTGTTAGCATTTTCGGCAATCAAGGATGGTTATGATGATATGGTAAAAACACCATTTGTTAAACACATAAACTTTTTTTTTCAGCAAAGGCATATTTCTGATCGAAGAGTTAACGGTCGAATATCGTACGTGGTCCGAGACGGAAGTCTCTGTGAGGAAGAATGGAGCAATGTTCGTGTTGGTGACGTCATTCGAATGATGAGCAATCAATTTGTCGCGGTAAGAGCTTTTTATTGAAACAACTGCTACAGTACGCTTAGGCGGATTTGCTGCTTCTCTCAACATCCGAACCGCACGGAATGTGTTATATCGAAACTATGGAACTTGATGGGGAAACAAATTTGAAAACGAGGGCTGCACTGAGCGAAACGGAACAAATGGGCGATGATCTTGATGAAATCACAAGATTTAAAGGTTGCCGATTTATATTTTGCCAAATATGTATAATTGTGTATTGTGTAACTCGAAATAGTTTAGGAGAAATTGTATGCGAACCGCCAAACAACAAACTTAATAAATTCGAAGGAAAATTGATTTGGAATAATCGAGAATTGCCAATTACCAACGACAACATTCTATTGAGAGGATGCATTTTGAAAAACACAAGATGGTATATATGCTTTCTGTTTTTTTAATCTTTCATATTTCCGTTTTTAGGTGCTATGGAGTCGTAGTTTTCGCCGGAAAAGATACGAAATTGATGATGAACAGCGGAAAAACCAAATTCAAAAGAACCTCTCTAGATCGATTTTTGAATATTTTAATTGTCGGGGTAAGTGTTTGCAAATTGTACATTCTTGACAAAAAAAATGTAAAATTCAGTTTTAAACTTGAATTGTTAAAAATTGTAGATTGTTCTATTTCTGGTGGCAATGTGCTTGATTTGCACCATACTTTGTGGTGTTTGGGAGTACACGACTGGCCGTTATTTCACCATCTACCTTCCCTGGGATGATGTCGTTCCCGATCCTCACGAACGCGGAGCTCGTCAAATCGCGCTCATCGCCTTCTTAATGTTTTTCTCATACATTATCCTGCTAAACACTGTTGTGCCAATTTCTTTGTATGTCAGCGTTGAGATTATCCGATTCATTCACTCAATGTGGATAAATAACGACGAACAAATGTACTACGAGAATGGCGAAAAGAGCGTGGCAGCAAAAGCGCATACGACAACCTTGAATGAGGAGTTGGGACAAGTGAAACTCATTTTTTTCTGCTTCTCAACTCTTTTTATTTCAATTTTAGGTTCAATATGTGTTCAGTGATAAGACGGGAACATTAACTAGGAATATTATGACATTCAACAAATGCACAATAGACGGCATCTCATACGGCGACGTATACGACAACCGGGGGAATTCCATTGAAGTTACAGATGTACAATTTGAGTTATATCCATTTTTTGTGATTTCATTGTTTTAGAAAACACCACCGTTGAGTTTCGCCTGGAATCCGTCATCTGAACCAACTTTTCAATTTTACGACAAACGACTTTTGGATGCGACTAAACAACGAATTCCGTTTGTCGACGAATTCTGGAGACTGTTGGCATTATGTCATACTGTAATGCCGGAAAGGGACAAAGGACAACTTGTGTACCAGGCGCAATCACCAGACGAGGCTGCTTTAACATCGGCGGCGAGAAACTTTGGATATGTATTTCGTGCCAGGACCCCGCACAGTATTACTATCGAAGTCATGGGAAAAGAGGAGGTGTATGAGCTACTTTGCATTCTTGATTTCAACAATGAACGCAAGAGGATGTCGGTAGTCGTCAAGGATCCACATGGAAAGATTCGATTGTATTGTAAAGGAGCCGATATGATGATAATGCAGAGGATAAAAGTAAGCGGTTTCGATTTTTTTTCCTTACTAATTTTTATCACAATTGTCAGCCAACGACGTCACCTATTATGCGGGATTCAACAACTTCCCATTTGGCAGATTTTGCAAATATTGGTCTCCGAACGCTTTGTCTCGCCTACAAAGACATAGATTCCGCATTTTTTGAAGCATGGAGTGTACGTTTATATTAAAATGTTCGATCGATTCATTATTGAAATGTAGAGAAGGCAAATGGAAGCGTCGACGTCGCTTGTAGATCGTGAAGCAAAACTCGACGCCGTTTATGAAGAAATTGAGAAAGGTGTTCAATTCTTTGACAGCGATATTATATATTGGCATCTGACTTTCAGATATGACATTGATTGGTGCAACTGCTATCGAAGACAAGCTGCAAGAAGGCGTGCCAGAAGCAATTGCCCGTCTTTCGGAAGCGAATATCAAAATTTGGGTATTGACTGGCGACAAAACAGAAACTGCAATTAATATTGCCTACTCATGTCGATTGCTTACTGATGAAACACAAGAGATCGTGGTAATCGACGGACAAACTGAGCCCGAAGTCGAGGTTCAGCTCAAAGACACACGAAATACATTCGAAAACATTTTGCGAGAAGTGAGTTATTTGAATATTTCACCACGCATTCGGGTACTCTAGTGATTCCAGCGACCAAGGAAAAGTACACAAGTTGAAGCTTATATTAATGAAATAATAAGTCTTCTTGATAATTGTGATAAGGTGGTGCCATTGGCATGCATTCTTTAGTTTTGGCTGTAGCTAACCTGCAATCTACCAAAAATATGCGCAAAAACAAATATTGGTTTCTCGTTTTTCAGGTAGCTCCTGGAATGAAACCAACGATCGACATTGAGACGATTCACGATGATTCGAGCACTTCCCCAAGAAGCTTTGACAGTATTATTGGATTTGTAAATATGGTGTACAGTTTTTTATTTAGGAGATATCAAAACACCGGACATCAAAAACTACGAGAGTGCACAACATCGAAACGGCGGAGTCGCCCTTGTTATCAACGGCGATTCTTTAGCTTTTGCTCTCGGTGCTCGACTCGAACGAACATTTTTGGAAGTTGCCTGTATGTGCGCAGCTGTGATCTGTTGTCGTGTGACTCCGCTGCAGAAAGCACAAGTTGTGGATCTTGTGAAGCGCAATAAAAAGGCAGTCACATTATCGATTGGAGATGGAGCCAACGATGTTAGCATGATCAAAACCGCGCACATTGGGGTCGGAATATCGGGACAAGAAGGAATGCAGGCAGTCTTGGCGTCGGATTACTCACTGGGCCAGTTTCGATATCTCGAGCGTCTTCTTCTTGTTCATGGAAGATGGTCCTATATAAGAATGTCGAAATTCTTGCGATACTTCTTCTACAAGAATTTCGCATTCACATTGACTCATTTCTGGTACTCATTCTTTTGCGGCTACTCGGCTCAGACAGTATTTGATGCCGTCCTCATTGCCTGCTACAATCTGTTCTTCACCGCTCTTCCTGTTCTCGCGATGGGATCTCTCGATCAAGACGTCGACGACACATACTCATTGCGCTACCCGAAACTTTATTTACCTGGTCAATTCAATCTCTTCTTCAACATGCGAATATTCATCTATTCGGTGCTTCATGGAATGTTCAGCTCGCTCGTCATCTTTTTTGTACCCTATGGTGCATTTTACCAAGCAGCTTCTGCCTCGGGAAAGGATATCGATGATTACGCTTCGCTGGCTTTTACGACATTCACAGCCTTAATAGTTGTGGTCACAGGCCAGGTAACGATGTTTTCTCAATGATGGGGTTCAATTTGAGATTTGTCAGATAGCTTTTGATACCTACTATTGGACAGCAATCAGTCATTTTGTGATTTGGGGAAGTCTGATCTTCTATTTCCTTGTCTGCTTCCTACTATACGAATGGCTGCCAATTTCGTGGATTGTTAAAACATCTTCCTCAATATCTTATGGCGTTGCATTCAAGACAATGACAACACCGCAATTCTGGTTTTCCATATTAATGGTAAAATATATATATATGGTTTAGTTTTGGCCATTTTTGCAACTGTTCAGGTTGTCGTGATCCTTCTTCTTCCAATAATGCTCAATCGCTTCTTCTGGCTTGATACACATCCGTCATTCGCAGATCGCCTTCGAGCCCGCAAGAAGCTCGGCAAAAAGGATTCTGCTCGCGAGGAAAAGAAACCAAGTTTCAAGAGAACGGCGGCTACTCGTCGCAGTGTCCGCGGATCACTCAGAAGTGGATACGCGTTCTCGCACTCGCAAGGATTCGGAGAGCTCATTCTCAAAGGAAAACTTTTCAAGAATGTTGAAAACCTTCGCGGACGTGGCTCAGCGAGCAAAATCCATCCAATCGATGATCCACCACGCAGACTGACAGTAGTTCCTGAGGTTTTCATTTTTTTTTCGAATGGAAAAGAATTGAATCTTCCATTGTAGGACTATTCGCAGTCGACACCGCCTTTCGTGTCGAATATTCCCACCATGCCACTTCCAGTGCGACAACGTACCAACGAAATACCTCATACATTAAGTGTGAACACAGAGGACTGGTAAGTTTTTTTTTAGTTTTGTTAGGCTGAAAGTGCGCAGTATTCGCCAACTTCTCCGCTTCTTCGTAGTGGTTGTGATGTTTAACTTCTAATAGGTCAAACAGTGATAATCGGCCTTCGTACGCCAGGGAACCCTCTCCTCTACAAGGTACCGTAATCGGCGGCGATGGAAAGGTGATCCGAAAAACGAAGCCCCGATGGGAAACGAAGGTATAAATTAAAAGTGCTTCGCTTTGCTGTGTTGTGTGTGTGTTTGTGACATTTCAGTTTTATACCGGTTTGAAATCAACAAGCTTTTCCTTTTTTTATTTCTTTCAATTTGTCTGTTTATATATTTCTATGTTTTATTGTCAATTCTTGTTGTGTGTCGTTTTTTTTCCGCATCCTAGGTTTCTCGCTTATAAATTTCCAAACTTTCTAATCTTTTCTCCTCAGGAGTCCGAACAACCAGACGTGATTATTGAACGAATGTGATCCGATATTGTCATTCAATTTGCATATTTATATACAAACATAGGCGCCGAATTTTGCTATATTGTTGTTTTCTTTTTCATGGGTATGTCATTATTTCGTGTATTTCTTAAATAATGTATAAAGAAATTGAAAAGATGACTTTATTGATCGTTGACAAAATTGAGCAAAACAATGAGATGATACAAAAATTGCAAGTCGGTCGAAAAAAGGAGGTCAGGGTTCGGTTATTGCTAAATCATCATCGACATATTCGGAAAGACTCGTCAGATAGAAGCTCCAATATCTGAAATTGGAAAAAAATGTATTGCGAAACAAATTTGTTAGCTATTACGAAATGTTGAAAATCATATAAGCTGTTGGAAAGAAAATGGCACTGTAGAAATCGACAATCTCCGGTCGAAGTTTCTGAATTGCCCGGAATTTTCGTCGAATTCCGGCGAACATTCTTTTATTTTCCCTTGGCTTCGGAACTTGCGGATACGGTGCTTCGACGGGAGTCTTAAAATCGAAAACGAGCGAGATTATGATTGTGAAATATTTGCAAAATCTCACATATTCTTCAGCATTCGGAATTTCGCTATTATTTCGTAATGAATTCACACGTTTGTCGACCCAAAACTAAAAATTGAATCAATGAAAAAAACAATGAAAAACGACAATTTGAAATGACCTGTCTCAATTCCAAATGAGGACTGTTTTGTACGCTTTTCCATGAAAAAACTTCTTCATCATCTTGCCGTTTCTTTTTCTTTTCCTTCAAAAATATCTCAATTTGAACTTTTGAATATCGTGTTTTTTCTTACCTTTGGGGGTAATCCATCATTTCTTGACATAAATCCTACTACGGCTAACTCTAATAGCGATAAAAATATGAAAAGCATTCCACTCAACATCCAAACATCGATGGCTTTGACATATGAAACTCTTGGTAGATTTCGGATGATATTTCCGAATTGAAATGTCATTGCCAACAAAGAGTTGACGCCAAGCATCGTTCGAGCAGGAATTGCTCTCGGACCCAGATAGAATGAAATCCAGGAAATAACAATGGTGACCATTGTGGGGATGTAGCCCTGCAGGACATACCAACCATAACGCCGCTGGAATACAAAAGCAACTGTAAGCTCATCCCACCAACCAGCCGGGTACATCTGAAATAGTTAAGCTTACTGAAAAAATGAAAATCCTGAAGAACCTGTTCAACTGCAATCACACTGAAATTCACTAATTTGAAATCGGGCAGCTCAATTCGTTTAAGTAGAATCACTGGATATGGCTGATTCCATTGCATTCTCACTTCGCCAGTGTTATAATTAAATCTGCAAGAATTTCAGTCTTCATTCGCTATTTTCGTAATCCTACGATTCAAAAGTGAGAAAGCATTTTTGTTTGTCGAACGGAAATCGTTTCAATCTCATATCGCATGGTCCGGTTAGTTTCATTCGATAATTTGTCCATAACGTTCCATTAGAGAAGACCATCAGAAATACATTTCTTAATAAGAGAATAAGTGATGGTTAGCAAAACTAGCAAAAATCATTTACTTGAATGGTGATTCGTGAATTGCAGCGTTTTTAGAATTGATGAAACAAGTATTTGGAATCCATAATCGCTGTAGGACCTTATCATCGAAAGAAATGTTCCGTTTGCACGGGTTCATATCTTCGAAAACTAATGCAGGATCCTCCCAAAATTCATTAATGTATAAATCTGAAAATTGGAATTCGCAAACCTCAAAAAGTGAGTTATGACTAACAAAGTTTGCATATCATTAAATCTAATAAATGAATATGCATTTGAAGAAAAAATTTTGAAAACACTTAATTTTCAATTCAGTTTTGTTTCTTTTTTCCACACCATGTTAGAAATGCTCAAAAATTAATGCATTTGTGCTTGAAAATAAATAGAACATGTGGCAATAATTAAATTAGAAAAATACGTTTTTAGAAGACGGACCAATTTCAAAATCTTGTGTTAATTCGGACACTGCCGTTACTTCTTGCACCCACATATCGACTCGAACTCGTGTTGGATGTGAAGGAATGTAATGCTGAAATCCGACATTTTTCCAAGTTTCTCACTTCTTTTGCGTCTCACTTTATTGTAACTATTTTTCAATAATGCATCGATAATTGTCGTATCATTTGCACAATTTTCAAGCGATTGAACAACTCCATTTTGGGAAGACGAGAGAAGTTCGGTGAGAAATGACACCATTACCCATCCAGGGTGACTCATCTGAAAAAAAAAAGTTTCATCTAATAAAAATATATAATAGAAATTGTTCATACAATCAAATGACACAAATTTCAGCATTAATCGAACAATTGGTTTGCTGACAAAACCCACGCGAGGATAACCTACCCAATATCTCATGATGATATCCGATGAACAGAATTTCAGATGAATGTACAGTAATAGATGCCCATTATAATCGATGGCTCGAATTTTTTGATGTTGCTCTGTATATTTTAAGATGTATATATTTTATTGTTGTGCTCGTTCGAAACTCAAGTAGTTTTGAGCACGACGACTGACTTTGTCGCCGAGAATCGTGACTCGTCCGTCAATAAATCGAATTACTCGTTTCGCCCAGAATATTTTTCAACGCTTCATTCAAACACATGTGCGCGGAAAAATCATTCGCAAAACGGTGGTAGAGGGCGGATGAGGAATAAGGAAGAAAGAGTTTGTCAGTATTCTTTGATAAATATCAAAAATGGGCGCAAAAATGAATATAAATGAAACAAAAATGTTTTTGTAATTGCTTAATTCCAATATTTTCAGGTTTTCTATTTCGGATATTCGTTAAAAAAAATATGAAAGCGTCGTACTATAACAAAATAATATTTATTTTCATTATTGAAACACAACATTTTAAAATTATATTTGCGAAAAATTTTTTACAGCTATTTTCGTTGGTGAAATTACACTAATAATTCACGGAAATATACGAGATTAACAATTTTGTTTCAAAAAAAAGTTGAAACGAATCTTTGATTTTTGAGTATATGGCATTATTCGATTTTCGTGTTTCTGAAGGATCCACACAAAAGATTTTGGACAAATCGAATTGTGATGTCAAAATAGATAAAATATCGAGAAGGAAACGAAGCTTAAGACTAAAACATTTCAGAGGATTGTCTTAACCTTTGGCGAGCGATGTTTGAGCATTACAACCACTACATACATATATAAAATAGTTGGGCGTTCACACAAATGTCAACTGGCGACAAAAAATAGAGAAGTTTGATAAAGTTTGTCGCCTCAACTCAAATCAATCAAATACTACACCATAAAATGGGTGTATAGTTCTATTCCCCTTAGGGCATTTTTATTTGGAACATTTATTAGAATTTGTATGTGAAAAAAAAGGGAACGAAATCGAATACTAACCGCGGTTTGTCGTGTTTGTTCCGTTGCTCGATTTCTGATACCTTTTCCGGTCTACAATGTCTGTAAAATGAGAATTGAACATCTAAATAAAATAAACATGATGAATGAGAAAACAAGTAAATTCGAAGAAATAAATATTTTAAATGGGAAATGAAGGATACCAAAAATAAACAGAATTTCGTTCATTCTTCAATGTTTTTGGTTATTAATCATCAAGACATTTTCTCGAATTTATTTTCAAAAACGAATACGTTAAAAACGTATATAATCTTCAGCAAAATGAGTTTATAACTAACGGAAACCCGCACAAATCTGATTCCTGTGATGCTCTAATGAACTCTTAAATATGAAGTTATCCAATTATAGGTCATCTGCGGAAATACGAGCAAAGTAGTGGGTCAAATCACGAGGAGGAACAGGGTTGGAGAAGCAGAAAATTTGATTGAGTTTGCCGGACATTGAGCGGGAAATTGCCTATTTTCGAATACCTCCTCCACTGGGGTCGAAAAAAAAGTGACCAACAAAACTGAGACAATCACTCTTTCTTGTTTTTTTTTTCTCGCTTATCAACTATACAACGACCTCAAAATAATTGTATGTCGTTCAACAATAATGGTTTTTTTTTCAAGCTTCACTAACAAGAAAATATAAGAAAATTGAAACGCAAGTTTGCACAAAATTCAATAAAAATATTGGAAAACGTATATTGGTGAAATCCCTCCCAAAATCCTTAAAAAATTGAAGCTTACAATAATACAGTTTTGCATTCAATTTTAAATTAATACGTTTTTTTTGTGTTTCATTATTATTCAAATACTACTTAATATTTTTATTTAAATTATCCGAATATCTTTTCCATTAATACTTTGTTAAAACATTCTCCGAAATTGCTTGCTCCTTTAAAAGTGAGTGACCGATTCTCATGGCTCTCGAAGAGCAACTTGAATTTTCTCGTATCCTTCTCGCTTGTCAATTTGTCAGCAAAAAACTGTGGAAACAAGATTAGACTCTCAAGTGCAACGAGCTGGCAAGAAAAAAAAAACGACGAGTTGTGAATCGGAATTAGATTCAAATAGTGAACTACGTCGTCTCAACATCTCGTCGCCAGTTTTTTCTACGTCGTTTTGTCGTTGTCAAATGTCCCCGGGGACAAAAATTCAGGCGACTGGAACAAAGAAGGCGGACGGCGGGAGGACAACGTGTTCGGTCGACTCGATGCTGCGACATCTTATCACGGCAAAAAGGAAGGAAAATGCACATGCCAAAAAAAAGAAATAAATCGTAGAAATGGAATTGAAATTTACGCCTGATTTTTTTCCACGAAAAACAAGAATCGTATTAGAGGTTTGACTGCAAGAATGAGTTGGAATGAAATGGGGGTTAATGAATTACGAAAGAAAGAATGCCGCAATCGAAACAACACAAAGCATTCCCTACAATTGAGTATTTTAATTACTAAACACTTTTAAAAACAAAAAACACATTTCAATCCAATTTTGACATTTTCGATTTATAAAAACCCAGATTTGCATTTATTAGATTTGAAGTTTTATTTTACGCTTAAAAGCTTGAACGAGTCAATTTACAATTTCACTGTGTATAAAACATATACAAAACCACAGTATATCAAAAGCGCATTCAAAAATTTTCGCGACAAAAATTAATTAATTATTTACTGTCGGCCTCGCGCGAATGATTTGGAAAAAAATATAAAAAAATGGCAAAAAAATAATGACAGTCTTGGCGTAAAACTAAAAGTTTAGACTTCCGGCCTAAGTAGGAAGACTAAGTAACGCACACCGCCTGCCAAGACCTCTCCTTAATTTCTTTTTTGCATTTTGAGATTTTTAAATTTTCGAGCAGGTGCGTGCTTTCGATGACTACTCAGAAAATCGAGGCAATTTATTATAGTACGTTTCCCAAAAAAAGCAGCTACTAAAATTTTCCGCTGCAAGGCCTTGTAGTTCTGACGATTTCGTCTCACGTTTATATATTGTCGGTTTCAGATGACTGATCTGTTATGCAATTTTGCAATATCGGTGTAGATCGACGAATTTATATATTTACCGCGGCAAAATATAAAATGCGCGTAGGCTAAAATGCATAGTACGTAGACAAGCGGTAGCCATGTTTTTGCCCGTTTTTAGCAGAAATCGATAAGAAATTGTTTTCCTCAGGATGTCTGCCGAATAGTCGTCGAATTTTTTCGTCTTTAAAGAAAAATAGTATTATTTTTTATAGAAATCAATTTTCTAAAAATAAATTATTTTTCAATTTCGACCATAGCCGGAATGATTTGTTTTGTTATCGCAGTTCGAAAACTATACAAAATATAGTAATAATAATTTCGGGACGAAAACGGAAACTACTCAACACTCGGATTGAAAGACGAGGAGAGAAGAAAATCAAATTATCTTTTCAGTCATATAGATGTGCAATTGAAGGCGACTCCTCCTCCTTTGGCCACGAATTTGTGAACGAAACCTTCACCAGGGAGTTTGAAAAAACAAAAATATAAGATAGAAAACATTGAATACGATTTATTGGACACCGGCAACCCGTAGAAGCTGCCTATCAACCAGGATGAGACAATTTTTTGAAATTGAATAGCACAAAATATCAACTAGCGAACACATAAATAATTAGGAAGATTTCGAAAGGACAGTTCTCGAACAGATACCCTGGTTCTTATCAGTATTTCAAATCATCAAATCGTGATTTAAGCAGATTCTGCAATTGGCGTCGTTCCGGATATCGACAATGTTTCAAGTTTCACAAAATCTTCGGGGTCGTAAATAACGCGGACAATAAGTGAACAGCTTGGACAGGTTGCGACGTCTTCGCCCATTTCGAGCATTTCTCTGAAAAAACCCAATGCAACAGTTTTAGATTTTACAGCTTTTGATTCAAAAAATCTTTCTTTTTATTATTTCATTTGATTCTATTCCATTCGCAAAAAACGAGCACGCCGATTTTTGATTTGTAGGTTATTAGTAGTACGGTACCTGAATTCTCACTGTTGAAATTTGAAACGCGAAAAAAAAGTGCGATGGTCCAAAAAGGCGCTCGTTTTTTTTTGCGATGGTAATAAATTGATTTTAATGTTTGGCACGCGATTAATATAATTTAGTATGCGCATTTGATTTATATTATTTTTAGAAATATGTTTAATACTCCGTAAACGCGTAAATTAAACTATACAGATTGAAAAAAAAACTCCGAAAACCTCATCGCTCTGAGTAAAAAATGTAATTTTTATTCAATTTTTGTAAAAAAAAAACATTTCATGAATAGGGCCATTTCGGGTATTTTTTGGGGTTAACACAAAAAGTCGAAAAAAAACTTGAGATCAGCTGTTATTAAAATTTTTATTTGTTGACAACTTATCTCCGCTACAAATCACGTGGTCTCATCCGTTTAATGTTATATAAAATGTAAGGAATTAAAAAAAAATTGCATAATGTTACTATGTAGACTTTAGAAAATAATCGACAAGAATTTTTGAAGGTACAAGAAGAAACACTTAACAAATTAAAATTTCAGCTAAAAATAATTTTCAAAATTTCGGTTCTGGCTTTATTCATTTTTTAGGAATTCTGTTCTAACTGAAACTGCTAAAAATCAAACAAAAACAAAGTATTCCAAATTTTTCGGATTTTCGGACCAAGAAATTTTTCCGGCCCTCACCGCACATGCCTGGCAAGAAACCGTTTAAAATTATTTAAAAAAAAACCCCTAGGGATGACAAAAAAACGAATATTTTCCCAAATCTCATAGTACCATAACGAATACTAGCCATACATATATTTTTAAAGATTTTTTCGACTTTATTTTTACGACCGGCATGTGTTACACAATGTGCTTCCACGAAAGTATTATACCCATTATTACGTGTTGTTTATAGATCTATTCAGTGCTTGCAATGCAAACACGTAAAATTCATCATCATAAATGTGACGTTAAAATTGGCTATTTCGACTATTGCACATTACGCAGAATAGAATCCATTAGTATTTCTTTTTACTGCAAGTTACAGTTATTCGTTTATTCTCAGGTAATATGTTATACACTTGTCATTTTAAAATAATAATAACAATAATAATTTTACCTAGCGATTTCAAATCGATCTCCACATGGACATGGGTAATGGTATACATCTTTCTCCTCATCATATTCAAAATCTTCGATTTCGACTTCGTCGTGAAATACTGACATTTCGAATTACCTAAAAAATTTTCGAATAATGAATAAGAACGCCAAAATAGTATATCTGCATCATTTCGGAAGAGTATAATATAATAATTAAATACGAAAAACAAAAAAATATTTTTCTGGAAATTTCTAATTCTGCAGTTATGCAGTTACTACATTTTAACTAAAAAAATGTATTTTAAAATGCACATAAGTAATTTTACGTCTTTTCTCAGTTTTATTTAACAAAATAATTTTATTTACGTCACCAATAAACGATTAAAATGAAATTTCGTAACGAAAATCTACCGAAAAACTTTCTCTGGTGCAATATTGCGTGTAGTTTGATTTACGTGTTTGCGGACATTTATTGAATACCGTAGTTAGGTCGGAGATGATTTGCGTTTTTTAAATTAAAAAAAAATGATTTCAGTTATCACTATTTGTCCTATTAACTTAATCTAAATATATTAATTAATTATATAATTAATTAATTTCTTTTCAGATGTCGGTCACTTTCGCAAGTGAAGATTTGAGTTTTGATCCTGAAGATTATCCTTGCCAAATTAGAAGTACTTCAACGTTCACTCCACCAACTGAAGCAGAACTAAAGCAAAAGAAGAAGCTTATTGGTGAACTTCAGGCAGCATTAGATGATTGGGAAGAACGTTGCGAAAATCCAGATTACGAGCCGATAACAACCGTTAAAAAGTAAGATCTCTTCTTTTTTTCAAATTTATTTCTTTTTAAATTTATTTCTTAAGCTCGAATATTGTTGAGAAATTTATATATTCGTATTTAGAATAGCTGAAATAATAGAAGAAAGTATGGATGAGTTTTTAAAAAGAGATCCTGATCCACTTGATGATCGGCACCCTCATAGGACGCATCCTCAATCAGCATTTGGCAATCTTCTTAAGATTTTATTCCGAAATGACGATTTCATGAATAAGGTAGGAATTAAGACAGTTTTCAAAATCAAATAGCAATTTCAGTTAGTAATATCTTATATTTTGGGTCGCGACAACGTTGAACTTTCTATTCAATCATGTCGCCTACTTCTTGATTGTGTTCCCGGACTAGATTCCAACGTTGTATTCTCAGAACCCGATGATTTTGTTCCTCGTTTATATGCATGGGCAAAAAGTGAAGAGAACGAAATGCTGCAAGCATATTCAATGGGTTTACTAGCTGCTGCTCTCGAAATAAATGAAAATGCTTCGAAATATCGCTTAGAAAATGCTGCTCTTGTTCCAGTTGCACTAGCAAAGCTCAAGCTATTAAAGGTCTGTGGGCCGAAGTTTTAAAATTTTAAAGTTTTAATAAAATATTTCAGTTGAAAATGGAAGAAGAGCGCGCGCAAAACAGCACTAATCAACATTATCCGTTTACCAAGTTGGTACAATTTATTTATTGCATCTAGAAAAAGTAAATTTAGCTTTGCGCATCTCATTGACGAAAGTAGCAACAGTAATGAAGCAGAATCAACGAAATCGAAAGAAGGAGAAGAGGAGACAGGCCCAAGTGAAAAACAGCCAATTACTACGCAGAAGACAACTGCCGAAGAACCACCGAGTAATGCAGAACAGTCCTCTACTACAGACAAAAGTAATTAAATATTTGTCAAGAAATTAAATTTAAAATTTAAAAGCTCAGATAGAAAAGTTAAACATCGCGATGATGAAGATTCGAATTCGTCTCAACCACCAAAAAAACGAAGAAAATCCAAGGTGAAATTGGAAAAATGCATTTTTAAACACGAAAATTAATTATTTTTAGCATCACCAAAATAAAGAAAATGGTGTAAACATACAATCACAATCGAGAATTCCGTCGTTTAGCTCTCTTCAAAACTTGGACAACAGCAATTCGAAGTGGGACATTCTGCAACCATTTCTTATTGGAACTCACAAAATATTTCCGATGTCTTTGCAAATGTACCAAAGACTCATTTTGCAATATTTGGCGCCGACGGGCGAATATCAAGATGTAACATTATTTTCACCTGCTCACCCAAATCAATTGTTTTTAGCTTCTGAGCCTGGCTTACGAAGGAAATGCGATGGATTTGATAATGGATTATATTGATTTGGAGAAATCGCAAGATGTTCGACTCACTTTTGATGCCCTCAAATATCTCACTTCTCTTCTCGTTCACAGAAAATTCGCACTAGAATTTGTGGGCCGTGGAGGCGTCGAAGCGCTTCTGAAAATCCCACGATCATCTCTTGCCTCGGTCGGCGTTGTAACCTCTTTGTATTATATTTCGTACAACTCTGATGTAATGGAAACTTTATGCCAATTAAGCGAGAGCATTGTTACAGAAGTTGTCGAGTGTGTTTTTTTTTTGCATTTTTTAAAGAAAATATCAATTCTCTTCAATTTCAGCTACGTTTTGTGGTGTTTGGAGCACAGTCATGAAAGTGGAATGTCAAGCGCCGCAATGTTCTTGGCACATGCTGTTTATTACAAAACAATTCTGGATCGATTTGATCAAAAAGATGGTCCAAGGAAACTTTATAATTACGTATGTATTTCATACAATACACAATAAGAATTTTGCAATATTTTACAGATTGCAACCCTCAATATTATTCAAGAAGTTGCTGCAAAAGATGATTTTGAATTGACCGAAGAACAGGTTCATACAAGCACCCAAAGCATCAGAAACGCTGTTTCCTCGTTCCGAAGCTATGTCGCCGCTCATCTCTTTGTCAAATTAGAAGCAATACGGAGATCGATCGGAGTGAAGAATTTTGCAGGATTACCATTTCCCAGTACTTTGCTCACCGACATTCCCGAGTATAAAGTGAGTTGAAAAGGGTTTTTTAATAGAGAATAAAAAAGAATTTTAGTCAATGAAAATTCACGAAGAGCATTGCTGGGATGCGCAAATTGTTCTCTCCAACATATTTCGTCTTTCGAATTCTGGTTGGCGTCCTATTGAGGAACTCCGAAAACTTGGATTAATCAAAACCATGTTTGCTGTTCATATTCTTTCGAGAGACTGGAATCCGCCGAACAACAGTCGCGCTGAAATGTCAATCCATGCATTGGAAGTGATTTCAATTTGCGCGTGTCTGCCGAAAGTTCAACTCGAAATTCTCTCAGTTAATAATTATATTCACACAGACGTCGATGGAGTCTCGTGAGTTTTTCATTGATAACTCAAACTGATCACTATTTGATATTTTTCAGAACTCTTCTTCGTACTGCATTGGGTGATGATGGCGAAGAAGGCGAGGTCCGAATCGCTTCACTTCATGTACTCATTATTTGCATGTACGTTTGTCCTGAGATTTATAAGGTAGATTTCAAACGAATATTTGTGATATTCTCCCGTTTTTTAGAGATTAGACCATCCTGTTCTAAAATCAAATGACAAAAAAGACGGCAGAAAATCGGTGAGCAAATCCGTGTTATTTTCTCCACCGAAAGCACATTTGGAAAGAATGTGGACTGCGGTTCGCCATTGTGATGGGATTATGGTGAGAAAATTGCGGTTAGAAGTTTTAGATGTTCTCAATTTAGATTCTTCTTGAAATAATTAATTCGAAAGTGCCGCTAGTTGATGCGGATAATCTTCGAATGAATGCGTGCAGAGCTCTTACTGGTCTTGCTCGTTGCGAACAGGTCCGTCAATTGCTTTCCGAAATGCCGCTCATTGCGAATAATGGACTGCAATCATTGATGCGAGAACCTGTAGCTCTTGATAAACGGGCTGAACACAATCACTTTTGTCGAGAAGCGAAGGCTTTGCTGGAAATTGTAACTGGAAAGAAAGTCACCGAACAAAGTACAACAGACCTTACGCAGGCATAACGAACACAGGGAAAAACAGATAATAGCAATAATTCAGGAAAAAATGCACAAACAGTGGATTGTTGAAAATACAAAAATCAATTACAACGGCAAGGAGCTTCTTCAGCTTATTTATGACCATCTTCAACGGAAGGGACTCACGTCTACAGCTGCTGTATTGCGTAATGAAGCCGACTTGAAAGATTTGGGATCAACGAAGTCTTCGAAACCGATTGAGGCTGGTTTAGAATCATTGGATACAACTCCAGTGCGAAAAACGACACCAACATCAATCCAATCCACATCAAATGATGATGGGTTTGTGACGCCGTCGATTTCGAGAGTCAAAATAAAATGTGCTGGATCAGCTCAACTTCCGGCATCTTCTCCAGCGAATGGTCCAAAGAAGTTCTTGATTAGTCCAATGAAACCGAAGCAATCAATTCTGAACGATGTTGAGTCGGCTCCGCCAAAACCGTATCGCGCACTCGATGATATTCTCACCGAGTATTTGCGGCAACAACACGCTCATTGCACCAATCCCGTCACCACTTGTCCGCCGTTTTCTTTGTACTATCCGCATCGATGCCCTGAACCGAGAGCTTCGGCAAGTATGCTTAACAATTTTGCATGGAGACGACTCAATTATGATGTGATGACGAGATCCCAGAGGATTGTGGCGAATTGGAGAGATGAGAGGTTTATCTTTAGTCGATTCAGACCCTCGAAATTGCTCTTGGAACACGAGGAAACATACACGGCCGCGTCATTTTCTGTTAGTTTTGTTATGAAACATCATCCAGATATAAATCAATTCAAATTTAGATTGATGATGAACATCTTATTGTTGGTTTATTCTCTGGCGAATTGCTCTGGATGAACATTGAAACAAGGAATTCAGAATCATCGACAAACTGCCATAACAGTGCGATTACCAACATTGAACCATCATCGGTTTTAGCATTTTTGAATATTTTCAATTTTCAATTTGTTTTTAGGATGGAACAATGCTTCTAACATCGTCGGCATTTGTACGACCTTTGTCTGCGTTATGGAAATTAGGTCAAACCCAAGAAATGTTGCAAGTTTTCAAAGATGACAATTGGGTCAAATTTTCTAATTTAAATCTTGATCGTATTATTGGAACTAGTGGGAATCAAGCAACAGTAATCAAGAAACAATCAATAAAGAAAAGCAATTAATCAATTGCTTTTATAGCTTTATGACACGGAGACCAACCACCCCTTGATGCATTTCAAACCAGAGCAATTTTCCGAACAACGATATGTGAAAAACATCGCCTCGTTATCGCCATGTGATCAGTTGGTGTTCAGCGATGGAGTTCTGTGGGACGTGCGAGCCTCGCAAGACAGCATTCATGTCTTCGACAAGTTGAATTCGTCGACGATTAATGGTGTCTTCCATCCGCATGGAAATGAAATAATTATTAATACGGAAGTGGTAAGAACTTTAGTAGAGCGTTGATATTCCATCAAACATTAAAACATTTTTCAGTTTGATGTGAGGAATTATCGAGTTTTGAAGCATGTTCCGGCAATTGATCAATCCCGCTTGATTTTTAATTCAACGGGAGTAAGTCAACATATAAGTAACCCATTCAAAATCTATTTAGAATATGATGTATTCATCAATATGGACGGAAGCAGAGCAAAGGTATTCAGATGACGAATCGACGTCATTCAGAACTTTAGATACGAAGGACTATTCGGTTAGATTCTTTTTTATGAATTCCGAGTTATTAACAATTTTTCAGGTCATCACTACATTAGATATAAAGAAACCTTTGCTTGGTCTTTGTGCATCTCATGGTGATTCTATGATGGCTGTTATTGAGAAGCTTCGGCCAACACAGAACGAATTTTCTTACCAATCTGCTTCCCAAATTCGAATCACGGAGGTTGGAATTCAGAAGGATAGTGAAGATGACGCTGATGAAGTCGAAGAGGATGAAGAAAATAATCATTCTGATGACGGAAGCACAACTGATTCCGAAGATACGATTGGATATGACAATGAAAGTGAAGATGAAGCTGGCGTGTTTGCAGCCATTGGAAGAGTAGGAAATCAGCATTTCTCAGATTCGTGGAAATCATTATTTTTCAGTTAAATGATATGGAATCGGATGCATCTCTTGACAACAGCATTATCGATATGCGTTATTCTGATTCGTCAACATCGGAATCAACTAGCGATAGCGAGAGTGATGACGGTAGCAGCAGTAGTAGTTGGGAAACAGCTAGTGAAGAGGGTAGGTGTTTGATTTCAATCAGCCGATAAAACAATAAAAATTTGATTATCAATGTTTGAATTATAATTTGAAACAGTTCGTGACTTCGAGATAAAATAATTTTCAGAATGGATCGCTGCTAATAATGACGACGACGATGAAGCCGACAGCAGTTATGAGTATGTTTTTTTTCGTAGTTGTTGGTAAATCTAATATATTCAGGCCGGATGCTGACCAGTATAACAGTCAAAGCACTACCGCTTTAAACCCCCATCTTCGTCGTCGTAACAATAGCAATGCATAAATTAATGATATTTTGGAAATGTTTGCGTCATCATTCCATCTACATATATTTGTATAATATTAGGTGCCCGTTATAGCATTCATTTCGTATTTCGATCTATTTTTGTTGATTTTGTTGTTGAAAATATATTGTTTATCGTTTTACTCCAAATCATTGAGAAGACCGTCAAAATCGACACTACCGGCTGGTGCCGATTTTCTACGATTTTCTACTGGTGTTGGTTGGGGAACTGGATGTGGTCGAATTGCACGATCGACTAGTTGTTTTTGTGGTTTTCCATTCGTTGATTGAGCTCGTTTCGAGCGACTTCGTGGTGTTGATCGAGTTGGAAGGCCACATGCGATTGAGAATTTGCGGCGCTGCAGTTTTTTGCTTTTCTGCTTTTTGATGTACTCCTGAATCTGGAATTTGCGGCATGATTCAAACAGAGTTTTTTGAAACTCCAACTTTGTATTTGATAACGGGCGACATTTTATCGATCCATTCTTTGTTGCGCTCAATTTGAGCTTGGAGGGGAGTCAATGGTTGAGCGACTTGAGGCTACAATTTTCAACATTGTACGTCAAACAAATATTAATGGACCTATTCATGCAAAGAAAAAAAATAATCAATTTTTTTCATTTGAATTCCCTATGCACGAAAATTACAAGAAATTGACGCGATATATCGTAATTCTCCGCTATTTATTTTCAAAGGCGCACGAGAAAAGTTGCGCAGGTCACGTCGCGAAGTCGGTACTGTAATTATTTATTATTCATTCTGTGTGCTATTTTTTCGTATTTTTCGAAAACGTTGAAGAGGAAATGAGTAACGGATTGACGAACGAGAGAAAAAAAAACAATTATTGGTATAAGTACTCCTAATTCGACAATCTAAGTCTATTTTCCGTCATTTAGATACCAATTAATGTGAAAAATTGTGATATTTGTGTTGATTTGATGCAGACTTCGCTCAATGACGCTTTTTTAATATTGATTAAACAAAAAATTTTACAGATTTCCAAAAAAAACGTTTTAAACGCTCAAAAAATAAAAAATGCGAAAAAAGTCATTAAAAAATACAGTACTGACTTCGCAACGTGACCTGCGCAACTTTTCTCGTGCGCCTTTGAAAATAAATAGCGGAGAATTACGATATATCGCGTCAATTTTTTTTGTACTTTTCGACGTGCGTGCATAGCAGGGCTGTGCGGCAATGGAATTGCCGATTGCCGAAATTGCCGAAATTTTGATTTTCGGCAATTTGCCGAATTGCCGAATTGCCGAAATTTCCGATTGCCGCACAGCCCTGGTGCATAGGTAATTTAAATGAAAAAAAAATTGATTTTTTAAAAATATTTTTTTCATTGCATGAATAGGTCCATAATAGGCAAGGAACTATTAAAATCGAAAATTTGAATATTATTAAATCACCTTTTTGTTTTCTTTCTTTTCTCGACTAGCATACTTCGCTGATGTCGTTGCTGAAATTTGAAAAATCAAAGCGCATTCCCTAATTTGGCTACTTACCATTCATTTTCTGACAACATCAACTAGCAGAAACGTCAATTCGATGCAAAAACGATTGGACCATATGTGAAAAAAACTGGCGTTATCATCAATAAACCTGGAGCAGTAAAAAACATGATTCGACAGATTTGACGTCCTTTACTGATAATGTCAGGTTTCATGGAAAAAAAGTTGAGACTTTTCTTATTAAACTAATCTTTTTCTCGGCGGTTTCACCTCGATTGTGATTGATATATTATTACCTGACGATTTAGTAGTGTTAAAACACTTGCAAATTACCCATTAATATTGATGAATTGTGGGGGGAGGGCGAAACGGAAAGTGTAGCCAATGATAACGATAGAAAAAAAAGAAAGTTTGACGATTACTTTTTTCTCGAAGCTTGATGAATGTTATCAAACGGTACAATACATAAACAGCTTAGAATTGTGATATAGTCCGTGAAATTTGTAAATCTTGATTTATTTGCCGTTAATATCGAGAACTGGGTACTCTATTAAGTCTATAGTGGTGACTCAAAATTAAAAAAATATTCTTTGCCGGAATTTATGTCCTCTCGTCACCTACGTCTTGAAAAGTCATGAAAGCACATTATAAAAATAGAAAAAATTTAGAAATTTACTACAAACTTATAAATTCTCCTCAAGTTCACTCTACATAGGCCAATGTTCATTGACTCATACTTTTTGACTTGACTCATGATTTTTGACTCATAAAAATTGTATCATGATTTTTTATTCTTTGACTCATGATTTTTGACTAGTGATTTTTGACTAATTTTTTTTTGACTAACAATTTTTGACTAATGATTTTCTGAATTTTTTTAGTTGAGATTCCTGCAGTTTTTTCAGTATTCAATTCTGTTTTTTTGGCCAATATTGATGGGTAAGAAGCTGAAGGGTGGGAGGAATTGGGAGAAATGTTAACACAGTTTTTATTCGATAACATATTTATTAAAAACTTTTAAAATTAATCAATCATTGAAATTTTCGATAGATCATTATACCGTTAAAACTTTATCAAAATGGTACTTCTAACAAAACAGCCTTCAAAAAACTTCTCAAAGTATAACAATGTCTTATTTTTTGAATATACCGTTTTTCCTGAATTTTGATGAGAAATCGAAAATTATGTCGTTTTAAAACAGGCCTGACCGTATAAGCTAAAATAATTTGCAAAATAAATTAATAAAAAATCACTTATCGCGTTATTCCATCCATTTCCCTCTTTTATTCACGCTCAATAATGAATGATATCGAATAAAAACTGTGTTTAGTTGTTTTCATTAAAATAACGGAGACTACTAAAAAATATCAAATCATACATATCATTTGGCCTACTACGGATATTCGTTTAATGTTACAGTCGATTCCTTCGGTGGATCCGCTTAGCTGGGATTACGCTTCTCATTGAAATCGATAAGCGATGAAATGCCAAAAAAAACAATTTTTTAAGCTTACAGAAGTTAGAAGAACTTTTTTCCTTTCAGTAATAATCTTTCCCCCATTCAGTAATAACATTTCTTCCAATTCCTCCCACCCTTTAGCTTCTTACCCATCAATATTGGCCAAAAAAACAGAATCGAATACTGAAAAAACTGCAGGAATCTCAACTAAAAAAATTCAGAAAATCATTAGTCAAAAATTGTTAGTCAAAAAAAAATTAGTCAAAAATCACTAGTCAAAAATCATGAGTCAAAGAATAAAAAATCATGATACAATTTTTATGAGTCAAAAATCATGAGTCAAGTCAAAAAGTATGAGTCAATGAACATTGGCCCTCTACATAATACTTTAAGGAAAATTGACGCTTAATGTATTTTATTGCAGCAATTTTTGCTCATGTGTCTGTAAAATTTCCATTGTCTTGACCTTATTCAAAATTTGATGAAGAAAAACTTAAGCCGTAAAAAAACGAAAACAAATTGATGTGTTTCTTGTATAGGTTCAAGTTCGAATTGGTTTCGCCGCGCAGAGTGTAGTTTTTTTTTGTAATCCGCCATATTTCATTACTATTCTTCAGCGATATTTATCGAAACATCGCATCCTTCTTGATTGATACCCGCCTCCAAGAATCCTTACTATAAAATGGAATCCATGTGTTCGGATTGCAACCAAGTCAGTTCAATTTCCAAACAATGTTCCCCCAGCTCGTCACTGTCGTTCTCGTTCTCGTTCAAGTAGCTGAATCATGCTTTCCAAGTGACGGAGGAAATGTGAGAAATCACGTCGGTCGAATAATTTGTTACCATATTATTTAAGGGCCCTCGTCCTTGCCCGTGCAGTATCGACAGTGTGGCTCTATTAAATGAAGTCGGTACCTTTCCAGGATCCGGCACAAAATCAATTAATCCAATAGGAACACCGTGATACATGCCGCAGTCAACTCAGTAATATATTTTTTTTTGCAGAACTGTTGATGATAAGGGTTGCCCAACTGCCTATAAAATCACTTGTGAGCCAACGACTGGAACTACTGTAATCATGGAGGTATTGTTCTCGAATTCATAGCGCCTGAAAATGCTGAAAATTAAAGTTCCAAGACATGATGGGAGGAGCACAACAGACGACGTCGGTCGAACTGACTTGCGAGAATGGCGACTTTGTTCACAAATCCGACCAAGGAACACTGTAAGGAGTTACCAAAAACGCCAAAATGAGAAATGAATTTCAGTCTTGTCATATCAGTGCAATGCATGGAATTGTAGTCAGCTTAAATGCTCACGAATTAACATCGAAAATTCTCTGTTTCCAAAGAGAACGATTGATAATTAATAATATTTATTAAAATAAATTATATATCGACAACATTAATGCTATTATTAACATGCCTGAAATCACAAAAACATGTCAGAATTCAATGATCTTACGTACCAAAAATGGATGAAGCTCCCGATTTGGCCTCATATCGAAGTTTCGCCTTTCCCGATGATCCCTTCATCATTATATTTAAATACTGGCCGACAGCTTTTGGCCGACTTCCATTATGGGTTCCCGTAATCCTAAAAATAACGTTATGAAGAAAAATGAAATTCGCTATTCATTTACACCGCGCTCAATTCTTTTTGATTATTTTTCAGAATAATAATGTCCACTTCCGAATTTCCACTTATTTGAACATCTTGAACATCAACCGAATATTCGAAAAGATCACCCGAGCTCGATCCTAAAGAAATAAATCGAGAATATGGGGATTCAACACTATTACCGTATGTGACGTTGAACTCCGGAGAAGCATCTGGATCAAGATAACTCGGAGAGAATATGTAGCCAGTTTGACCATCTGCTATATTATAATAATTTTCTGAAATTTTGGGAAATTAAAAAATAACGAACATTTTTTTACCAGGAATATTTGTTGTTAATGTCATCTGCAAATTGCAGTTTTTCGTAGAGATTGAGAAAAATTTCGCAGGGAATAGTTGAGGAATTCTCATCGGATTTTGAGGTCTTTAAAACGTTTAAAATTGTACATGAATATCGCGTAAAAAAAGAAACTGACGAGAAATCGATCAGCAACTGAGAATGGCTTCCAGGAGTTGAGGAAATAGCACGAGCTTCGCAATCTTTTGTTGCATCCTTAATTTCGAGAATTATAAATAAATAAATAATTGGTCTAATTTACAAGGTCGGTAAATTTTAAGTCTTTAACCATCATTTGAGATTTCGAAGTCATAAATGTGACAACAGTGCTTAATTTGGCTGACGTAATTTTAATATTTCCGGTCAATGTGACCACGGAAACTCCAGCGATTTTGTCGTAGCTCGAAACATCTGAATCATATTTTGCTCATTGAATCGACATCAATTCATTCGAAACCTTTGTATGACTGAAATAGAACAGTCGATCGAGAAATATCCGAAGACAATCCAACGACTGTCACAAATCCCGTGGCTGACACGAAACTTTGCGCGAGAAAATCTCGCATACTGAAATTCGAAAAATTGACGCGATATTTACACAACGAATACATGTGAATTCCTTTATTTTGCTGAATTGTTCCATCGAATATATAGAAGTCATCGAAATGATCTGAGACGTATCCACTCCTACCAACAGTCGTCACAATCTTTAATAAAGTCAGGTCTCTCTCAGCCATTTGCTTAGCTTTTACCTTATCCGTGAATTTAATTGTGAGCGGCTTTTGTTTGATTGAATTCAATTCAAAAAAATTCGCTCCTCCGTCGATTCTAAGACCAACTTCTCTTGGTTTGGCAACTAAAAAAATAGTATGATATGATGTGGTTAATAATGAATCATGAAAGACAAACACTCATAAAATTGAAAGGTGATAAAAAGTTTTGAAGAAACGGATGTCGGTGACGTTTCGATTCGTAAGGACCCTTTACAACTTGAAACGATAAAATATTCAGAAGTTCGCGGCGAATCTCTGCATATTAATCAGTTGTTGAAAATCTCGAATATGTGCAAACTAACCTGTTTACTATTCGGATATGTCTTAATCCATCATTTAAAATTATTTTATCCGATAAATCGCTCAATTCTTGAATGATTACAATACGCACATAAACTCCATTCGAAATGGTCAGCTGAATTAAAAATTATTGTGAAATTTGGCGAACATTTATTTACCGGATAACTACAATTGAAATTTGATGGGTATATGACAGGTTCTGTAGAATTGAACGGAAGATAATAAACGCTCCCATCCTTTTGACTTATGATATTGAGCTTCTCGCAGACTGAATTTAATTTTTTTTCATAAACAAAGATTTTTGATTCTTTTAGAGTTGAATGAGAAATTGAAATATCTTATAAAAATGTCTTGTTTCAAGATTATCAACTTACCTACTGCCAAACCTTTTGAGTAAACATTTCCTATTAGGTGAAAGACTAGAAATCCTAACAAATGCCAATGATTCATTGTGAACTACAAAATATTCATGCGTAGCACTGCTTGCGGGTTTTATACATTTTTTTACTCCTTTCATCTTCCCCTCTTATCATTCAGCGTTATCGTCTCAACCCACATTAAGCAAACACAATTTAGAGGATAATTTATTCAAAAATCAGGCAACAAAATTAAATATATTTGAAGAAAAGAAAGAAATCAATAGACCACCTCAAACTAAAAATTAAACATACAAAAATCATCTAATTTTTTTTTTTAACTTTAAAAGGAAAAAAATAAATTAATAGTGACGAACGGACTAGAATCACTTTCAGCAAGGAGAGAATAGAAAATGTTTCAAAATACGAAATACGTGTCATGGAGGATCTCTTCGAAAATGTGTGTACTCGATTCGTTTTGTGTTGCACATTAAGTGACTCTCAAGGCATAATATTTTTACAAATTGAGCTTAAAAAAGCAAAAAAATTCGAAAAAAAAAAGTTAATATTTGTTTAGAACAAATGGCACTGCTTATTATATCGGAATTCACGGAGCGAATTGCAAAAGAAAAGTTCTAGAAATGAGAGATCACATGTGCAGATCATAAAGTGTCAACGAATGTCGAAGGCAGCTCGTTATCAACACCTGTGTTTGGCTGAAAAAAATCACAAAATTAATTTCAGAGTAGAAAATTCTTTATTGGAATTTTGAAGAAATATTCGAAATAAAACCATCAACTTTTCAATGACTGGTGCCATAAAATTATTATGAGATGATCTTGATAATCAACACTAAATTTATATTATTTTTTGTATTAAAAGTTTTTTTTTTTAATTGAATTTACAACTAAAAATGAGTAAAAGATACTATCAATCGATATCATTTTTTATTGATTACGTCTTGATGAATTGCCGTTCCAAAAGTTATTAGATTACCTCCTCCTCGACTTCGACTTTGGGTACAACCGACGTATCTTCTTCCAGGAAATTAATCAAGCTCAAGTCATCATCGTCGTTTGACACCGAGCTTGTCTCCGTCTTTATTTGCATATCATCCATTTTCATCTCATGACCGCGACGACGAGCATTCATGAAGAAGTTGGCCACCTGCACATTTTCATCAATATTCAATATTCATCAGATGCTATTTCAGCCAATTACCGTGGTTGGATCGAGATTCAATTGTTGGCTAATAGTGAGTTGCATTTCTCGCGATGGTCGTTTTGTCTCTTTGAAAATTGCCTATAATATTAATTAAACTAATCGATTCCAAATGGGATGTGAGAACCTGAAGGGTTCTTCTTTGAATATCGGTGAACACGAGTCTCGGTTTCTTCGGAGCACTTGGCGACGTTGAACTCGGCTCCTCTTTCCGTTTACAGGCTGCAAATTTTTACTATGACAGGTATCAAGAGGGCCTCTAAAGAGTTGTGATGAGAAATGAGATAGGCTAGCATTCGTCAAATATTGCTGAGAGAATTCCCGAGAGGAAACGTGTCGAATTTATTGCAAATGGAGATTTCGAACGATTGATTTTGAGCATTACATATATGCGCATTTTTATATGGAAAACGAAACAGAAGCATGATCGTCTGTTTGTACAAGATTTCGATTTTCACAACTAAAAGGCGAATGCAGAGAAAAAAAAAACAGTGAAGAAAAAAAGAAAAAAATCATTTTTAACCATTTTATTTTCTCTGCATTGCCCCTCAATTAAAATTAAATTTGTCTAATTTATAGATTAAAAAATACATATCAAACCGAATCTTGTGAAGTTTTCATTCTTGAATAAAAACTGTTCACCTATTTAAGCATATTTTTGAAAATTTCATTCAGTATATTCGAATTCAGTGTTTTATGATGTTTTGCGCCAGAAGTCCCTAGTGTTTGTGTTTTTGCGGCGAGATGAATGCGTGCGTGCGCTGCTCCGAAGCTTCTTCTCCTTCTTCTTCTTCTTTCAATGCTCGGTCTTCTCTGTCGTTTCCAAACTCCATCCACTATTTCGCGTTTTTCTTCTTGTTTATCGATTTTGGCCATTTTCGAGCAGCCAACACTCACACACCGACATGCGCATATATACATATAAAGAAGCGAACAAACTCTGCGATCGAAAAACATCGAATTCGAGCCATTTTTTTAGATCAACGCAATCGGTAGAATTTCTCAACGTTTTGGCAGAAGATTGATACGAATTGTCGTCAATTCGCTCACTATTTCCACAAGCTTTTTCAGTCTATTCTCGTCTTATCGCTTTTGCCTATTGATTACGGCGCGTCGAGACCGCTGGAGCTTATTGGGCATTGCTCATATTATGCCGAAACAGCTGCGCGCCAGTTTTTTTTTAAGAGAATAGGCCGCTTTTCGGTTTTGAATGAATATAAGACATATATTTTTGTGTGAAAAATTGATAATTTTAATATCAAATCAATATCGTTTCGGCTGCAAATATGAAAGCCCATTGAAATAAATTTTGGCATATGAACTATCAAGAATCTGAAGCAAAATATCAAAAGTAAATTGAGCATTATATGAATGCTAAATCAAATTTTCAAAATTATTTCATTATTTATTTGTTTTTAGATATTTCTATGATAAATCATAAACAGAAAACATTTCCACAATTTGATTTTTTTTTTGAGAATATCTCAAACCAATAATAAAAAAGGACTTTCTGCCTAGTCGGTCGATGTTATTTTTTTTAATTGTAAATTCGGTTTGACATGTCCCTATTTTCCATTTTCTCCCCCTCTCTCTCTCTCTCTTGCGCTTCGCTTCAGTTTCCACAAGCCATCTGTCCCGACGGCTTCAATTTCGGTGTGCTCAGATGTATGCGTCTCTCTCTCTCGGACGTACTATTTCAATTCAAATACACACTGAAATTGGTGGCCGTGTGCCCATCCATCTGTGGTCGCGGTCGACGTGGTGCTCTTTCTCGGTCACCACCACTGTTATTATTATTATTATTATTATTATTATTAGGACTTCCATTATTATTCAACAATTGGGCGACAGCACACTTTTACCTTCATTCGGGCACCGTTTAAGCGAATAAAAATGACACACCTGCGAGTCGCAGAGCCGACATCCTCTCGAATTCCGGCTCTTTCAACCACTGGTCCATTCGCCGGAAAGTCTCGCGACCGCTTTTCAGTTTTGACCATGGTTTCGGATTTCGTAAAAGATCCGACAATGTGCCTTGCGATCTTAATACAAATGTGTATTTGGTTTTGAACATTTTGAACAAAAAAAAACACACACAAATATATCCCAATTATTCATCGGATTTGAGTTGCTCCAAAATATTTTTTTGTTATGTGAAAACGGTTTCAATTTTTCATATTTCATTACGAATAAATTTTCGACAAAAACTAATCGAATCATCGATGATTTGATTATCATTTTGGAAAACGAACCTGCACAAAATTCGGGCAGCAAAAACTGCCTGTGGAATGGAGTATCGTTTGAGCTCTGCCGAAATGCGAGTGGCAAGTTCCTGAAGAATAATCAGAAATATGTAATTGAGAAACCAAATTCAAACTTTGGTGTTCAATTCTTCTCCGTCATCCTCGTCGTAGCTTGTCGGTAAAGAAGGCGATGATTTATGAGAAGACAATCCCTAAAATGGAATTAATTTTAATCGAAATTGTCAGTTGAAATAATACCAAATCATCGCAATCGGCTGGAAACGACGTGAAATTGAATGTAGTATCTTTATCATTTTTCGGCGATCTTAAAAATGAGTTATCTATTTGTCGCATAGTCGAATATTCACCGATCATATGCTTCGAATGTGGGCGATGCGAAACTAATATCCTGTCCAGAGCTACCGTAATCCGATGGTGTCGATGTATGCGTTTCTGAATTAAAAATGTGAGATAAATGAAATAATTATGTAATCATCGACCGAACCTCCATTCTCTTCTTCAATTCCATCATCTGAACTCTTCGCTTCATATTCATATTTAATTTCATAGTTGTAATTTCCAGCGCCATTCGTTGGGAAAAAATATCTAAAATCCACAATATAGATCATTGCCAACTAATAAATCGTTTGGTTACTTGATCGTCTTTGTTTGCGGAGACGTCGATTCTCGAGAATACCGTTGCTCTTTTGAGGTTACTGTAGAAATTGGTGGCAATGGTTGAAGGGTGGTGAGAGTGGCGTAATTCCTGAAAACCAAGCAATTTCAAGAGAATTATGTAGGTAGGAAGGAATGTTCTGATTGAATATGAATAAATAATTCTTACGGTTCATAATCATCACAAAAGAATCGATTCATCTGATCATGATTTTCGAAATACTCCGTAATGCGATCGGTGAAACGCATAAAAAAATATGGCGAACGGGTCGAAGCCCGAGAAATCAATTAAATATTCCAAAAAAAGAAAGACAAAAAATTATGTGAATGCCGAATTCGGGAAATATATGGAGACGCCGACGACGAATGCAAAAAGAAACTATCGGGAGACGGAAAGAAATTGCCGCGAAAAATACCATTCCATTCATGTGAATGTGCATATTCATATTCCCATCGCTACATTTTTATTTGATCAGATTCAAATATATTGGTGTACAAATTATAATAAGCATGTTAACCACAAATCAGTTTCAGTTTTTTTTCAAGCAGATTTCTTCTTCACTAAAATTTTAATTTGCGGTTTTTGTTGAGAATAAATTCAATTCTATGTATTATCATCAATGTTAATTTCGTTCGGTGATTTTTGCCTTCACGTCGAATTGAAATGCTCATTTTTTCAATGGCAAACAAAGCAGAAGCGTAAAAGTGAATTTGCTCTAATCCCATTCACTAGCAGACATGCATATCTATGGCATTAATTTGCGCGCGGGTGCCTCCTTCGTTCAATCATCGAGCGCCGTGAAAAGTAAGTGGCAGACAGATGGCCGACAAATGTAAACCCAATTCATTACTTCCATGCGAACACCAATTTTGTTCGATTTTTTGACATTGCCGTTTGAATATTAAAACGGTTTCCCTTCAATTATGATTAGATATTCCATTTCGATAATCGCACTCCAATCCTAGCAAATTATGGTTGTAAAAAGCGCACTAACATTTTTTGAAAAACCATCTGCCAACGGAGTCTCGAAACGAATTCTCCGCAGATGGTTTATGTGAGTCGCACAAACGTTTTCAGCTAATCCGTAATCGGTTTTATGAAATTTGTCACGAAATCAGACTATGTTATCGTTTGGCTCTTACAAAAGAAACAAAATGAAAACGCAGGGGCACACGCGATGTCTGTAGAGCCCTAATTGGTTAAATTTTCCAAAAAAAATGGTTCAGCAGAATGTTGTAAAAATTCTCGAAAATTATTGGAATTAAAAAATTGCGAGAATCGAGAGAAAAATACTGAAAAAGTGAGCACAAAGCATAGCGAGTCGTGAGTTTTTCTAGCGGCTTTGAAATAATTACACATTTCTATCTTTCAAATTTTGAAAACAATCGGTATGAAAGATACATTTATTTAAATTTAGTTTTTTTAATCGGATTATATGAATTCTAAATTTTCTTTTTTTATTTTTGAAAATATCTCCCCTATTCTTCAAATGTCTTATCCTTGCTTGTTATGTCAGCTAACTAACCCATATATGGTTCGATGATGACGTTGTCTGGTGCTCATCGGCGGTGGTGTATTTGACGCTGTACGATGTCCGTCATCTGCAAAGTCGATGAAGCTGTCGCCGCTCGGCGACTGTGTGGCTCCACGACGATTCGAATGCCCAGAACGCACAATTGGCGGCGATGACAATGCAGCCGAAAGAAGCGGGTCCGACGACAAGCCACCCGTGTCAAGCGTCTCCATTTATGCTGAAAATTGGGGATGAATGAATGCGAGACCGGCAGCAATTATCAAGAATCAGACGGGAAAAGTTGGCTAGCAGAAGCAATGTGAAAATTCAGAGAATGACTAGAACATTCGAAATCTTTTTTATAATGAAAAAATTGTAGTGAAAAAAAAAACAAGAATACAATGTGTGGTGAAGAAGAGGCCTCACATGCGCGCAAATGCTCACGTATCCAGCTAGAAATTGTTGTGGGTGGCGCAGTGGCAGCCGGTGTGGTGCGGCACACAAGAAGAAGAGGCGATGGAGAGGAAGAAGGAGACGTTGGAGAGCAATGATGTGCCTGAAGCGAGACCGCGCATGTACGTCCACCCAAATTGGGAGGCGGAGCCGGGAGTCAAACGCGACGCGTTGGAGAGCGAAAGACGACGAGAGCGCATACATGCACATTCACACTGGCTCATGCTCCGGGGGGGGGGGCCTTTGCAAAACGCCTCGTACCATCGCGCCGTCAGTTTCGCACCAAATTAGGGAAACGCAAAACAAATGGGTTGTCAAGAAAAAAGAAGAACCAAATAGGTTGGAAATTGCTGAAAAATGAAGCCTCGATCTGCCCCATTTATTTTCTTTTTTCTACAGAAGAACGTCTTAAAATTGTGAAAAGAACGGAAGAATTTGAATGTTAGAATTGCCGACTGCGGAAAATTGGCTAATTTGCAAAAATCAATGGCAATGGTCTTGACGCAAAATAATAGGATAGATTTACGGGCATCGGAATATGTGAAAAGCGCATACGACGCAACGAGACCTTTCCTCAAATTTGTTCGCATTTAGCCTATTTTAGTATATTGAAAAATATAATCAAAACAGTTGTTTGGAAAAATGCGATCTAAAAAAAAAGAAAAAAAAAATGTCTACTATTTTTTAAACGAGGAGAAACAAATTATATGTCTCGTGACATTTAAAACTCATTTCTCGCGTAATCCATAGTTTGAATTATACCGATTTGATCTGAACACAGTAGATCTCAAAGCAAAATTATGTTCAACTCGCGTTAAGATCAAAAATGATCAGCTCGGTTGATTTAGGTTGGTGATAAATTTATTCAATTGTTTGTATGTGTGGATCTATTTAGTAGACATTTTCATAAATATCCTTAAGGAATTCAACTCAAGTGATAATCGCGTGAGCTCGCGAAACTCGAATCTACATCGAATTGATTATGTTTCTTTTGACTAAAACAATTTCAAAAATTACAACAACTTTAGAAATGGTATTAATTGGAAATCATAAAAATATTTACCTTTTTCATAAAATTCATTTCTTTTTATTCATAAAAATGCTCAAAATATGATAAACTAAAAAGCAATATGTTGAGCAAAAATGCATGAAATATTTTAATCCTGTTTTAAAACCAAAACGAAGATGTGACAAATGATGCGGATTAAGAGCAGAAAACTAATAAAAGAAACGAGGCGGTCTTAAATGTTGTAAGACGACAAAAAAGGAATATACAGAGTTGGAAATCAATATTTTTTTAATAAAATATATTTATTTTTCAAAGATTTTTAATAAACTCAAAAAAATGGTTACAAGTAGTTTTATTTTATTTTCAACACGTATTTTCAACAAAAAAAAGTCAACCGGGAGGCAAAAAAAAAAACTATAAAAAATGAGCATGAAACCAGCATGAAAGGGTAAAATGAGATCCCAAAAGCATTGTGACACAAACATTTCTAAATTCACAAAAAAGGCTTCCGATTGAAATTCGAACTAAACTTCGCAAAGTGTTTCAATAATTGATTCGGCCAAGCCGTTCAAATCTTTTTGTGTTTCGTCCACATTTTTCTTCGCTTCTTCGACTGTCGTTGTCTTTAAACGAATACATCTATATAGTCTAACAATGAGCTGAAATTTCAGAGTGGTAACTGTTGAAAATATTGATTGATACTAACCTGCATTAATTTCCGAATGGCAACAATCGAAATAATTTTGCCGAAAAGGTCCAAATGAGCACTTGAAGGACTCCAATATTTGCCGATCAATCCAACCATTGGACAATCCATCTCGAAGATTGTGTTATTCGGCTTAAAAATTTTTCCTAACAATTTTCTTTGTAAGAATTTGAATTTCGCACATATTTCTCAATAAAACCAAACCCGCATTGCGAATAAAAATGAACTCAATCGAACCATTCTGAGTTTTTGATATCTTCCGTCGTAAACATTCAAATGTTCGGTGAGTTCTAAATGCTCCGACCAACATCCGATAGAAACCACAGTAAATGCAATCAATCCAATGCAAAGAAATATCATCAACGTAATCTTGCATAGAGCTGAAATTCGATTCGATTTATTTTCTTTTCGATTTCAAACGATTCACTTCTTTTGTATCCAACTTTTTTATATTCTTCAAGCGCCGAAAGTAGAATCGCTTCTTTATCAATATAACGAGAATGTATTAGTTTCGCAAAATCCTGCTCTCCTTGTGTGGTCTCCTATAAAAATAAAACACATTCATTCGACTTGTGTTTCGAGACGAAAAAAATATGTGTTCGATATGTCGTTCAATTTTTGTACTCTGTGATAATTGAGTTTCTTGTGAAAATCGAATTCATAATTATAAATTATTGCTTTTATGAATCTCATTTGATGCGAATTTCAAATCATCATTGATTTTTCTATTCAAGTTTGAGTTTCGAAATAGTTTTAAACTTTTCATTTTTTGAAATCGATGAAATAACACCCTGATTATTTCGGACCACACTCGAGAAATAGTTGCTTCAACATTCTATTCAAAAAAAAAAATAATTTTGAAAATTTAGACAGTTTAATAGGGTTTGTTAGTAGATATTCGAAAAAGAAACTCACAGTGCTGGCACTTTGTGGTCCGAATCCTCCGAATCCTCGAAAAGGATATTTTTTCTCGGGCACTTCTTGCGGCTTCTCATCTTTCTTTTTCGGCTCAGTAATTAATGGTATTTTAACGGCTTCGTGTTTTTTATGACTAGCGCTACTAGAATGTTGCATATTGATTGCAGAGGGTCCCGAAAGCCGAACAAAATGGAGTATGAAAAAAAGAAGAAAAAAATGAGAAAGAAGCGGGAGAAAGAAGGCGAAACGAGGGGGTAATGCGTTGTAGTTTGTATGAGCAGTGGCGGCAGATATTTTTGGCGTGAAGGCACTCCTCAGATCTCGTTCGTGCTTTCACTCGTCTCTCTTGGAGACTCTGCTGTCGGCCGACTCATGCTCAATGTGCATTGATTTCAAAACTTGCTTGAAAATGAGGTCGAGCTCGCCACGAACGAGCAACATAAAACAATTTGAGGATAAGTGGTTCGGATTGCTCATTTCGAAATATATTTAGAAAGTTTATGATTATTTTTCAAATCGATGAAATATGAACATTCCAATGTTTATGTAGAAATCGACATTGAAATATTCTAAACGAAAAAATATTAGAGGATATCCCAAAAAAATATCACATATTTTAAATAAAACCAATCAATTATGGATAATTTAGTGAGAAAAACTGCAAAGTTGGAATTTTTTGAGATTGCTTCATTAAAAGTTAGAATATATGTAATTCAGGACGTTTTTTTTTTTCAAATATGCAAGTGTTCCCTAAAAAATCAGAAAAATGATGAAAAATGATGAGTCAAGTGTTATTTTATTTGCCGATAAAAAATTCTGATTGAGGGCACATGAATTGTGCCAAATTTGTTTTTGAGTCGCTCAATTTTAATTTTCCTTTTCGAAAATTGTCTTCACAATCGACATCCAAACACATTTCAAACTCTTCACAATGACTTTTTCTACTGCTATTTTGGAAATTGAAAATTTCACCGTTTCGCGTTTGTTTTCGGAAATTCTAAAATTGCATACATAATTTTCTGAATCCCAAAAGAACAATTAAATATTTGTTATTTGATATATTCCAAAGGTTTGTGGTGTTTTAAATAATGTCTAACCTGATATTTTGCAAATTATACGTATATAATTTTTGATATCAAAAATGCAAACGCTGATTAACGCACTAATAAGTGCATTGTGACTAATTGCGCCGCCCGTGTTGCTATGGCAACCCGTCGCCAAATCCATATATTGGAGTGAAACGTATCAGCTGCCTCCATCGATCACATTTTCTTTATTTCCCGATTTACTGCTTTTGAATATATAATACTTATTATTGTTAAACTATGATGCAGATGCAATATTTTTCAGATGTCTTCCCCAATAGCGGGACTCGATAACTGCCCGAATTGGGAATTAATCGGTATGCTCTATTCGAATTGCCCTCAACTTCTTTTTTTAATCTCTTTTTTGCACATATCCATTCGTTTTGCTCATTTTCAGATCAAATTTCGGTGCCTCTTCTGGAGACCGGAATTGCCACGTTGCCAATTCTGCAGGCTGCTCTTCCGACGATGCTCACAATCAATGCAAACGACGAGAAAGTCACCCAAAGATATCCGAAAATCATTCGTATTTGTCAGTTGCAAATTCAGCATTTACTGGTGAGAAATGCACAAACTCATGCTGGATTTCAACATAATGCAATTGCAGCGATCGCAGAAGGAATTGATGCACCGGCTGGAGTTGATGAAGCATCAGACAAGAAAATGTCAGCACACACAAGACGATGGAGTCAAATATAAGGTTTTGGTTTTAATTATTGCTTGAAGCTTTCACGCAATTGTTTCTTCAAAGCCTGTATTTAAATCAGACTCAAGATTTATATGCTCTCAATTTTTTGAAAGCACGATTGAATCGAAAATTTCGAATTATACATTATGCATTGTGTGCGTACACCGAGTCGCACAACTCGATCTTAACTACAGTGATCTCAACTGAAAATTATTTAATTAACTATGGATCGTTCCTTTTTTATATAAAAGAATTAACTTTGAATATTATATGAATATTATACAAAAATATTTACTATTACACTTTTTCAACACAACAGTATACATAAAACCATAAAGTGGCCAAGAAAACACAGAAAGAAAATTTAAAAAATTAATTGGTTAAATAATTTTCAGTTGAGATTACTGTAGCAAAAATCGAGATGTGCGACTCGGTGTACGCACACAATGCATAGGATATCGCTGCACATTCGTTATATTTCCACAATACATGTTAATTATAGAAAGGGGTGAATAATTAATTGAAATAATTATTGAATTTTAATCCGAATATCATATTTGTTTCAGTGCGACGATTGCGGAAAAGTGTTCGTCTCAAAAGATTACCTCCTCTCTCATTTCGAGAGAAGGCACAAGCAAGGAAGCGGAAGCTCGTCAATTAATTCCTAATTATGTGATAAATTACTTAATTTCCAGGGTATTTAAGTGGCTCTAAATAAATTATTAATCAATTACATCAAACCACATAATTAACTAATTAATCGGAAGAAATCACATAATCTGGGTCAAACTTGGTCAAATCTCGGCCGAAAACGCAAAGATATGCGCATTCGCCTAAAATCGATATCCATTTTTGTTTTATTCACGTTTATTAGTTTTGTTTTCTTCTTCATTTTGATCTACCCAAAACAGATTGATGTTCCGCGTAAGAAATTCCTTTGGTTTTAATAAAACGGCTAAACCATTCAGAAGTGGTTGCAACAAGAAGCGACGATGGAATTATATCGAAATCAGTGTTGATTGGCTATTCAAATGCTGATCGTTCGACCATATTCTCGGCGTTTATTTTTGATAACACTGCCGTTCTAATATTATCCTCATACGGATATTTGAAGTTTCAACCATTTTTCAATCAAAAATATCACTCATTAGATTTTCAGCCGTCGTATTTATTGTCGATTTTTCGATGGAAATCATTCGGAAATTTCTCAACAATCCACTGTTGTTTTTCCGGAATTTACTGTAAAATGTGCCGCAAACAATTCTGCAAAATTTGTGGCGATTAGTGTCAACAAGAAAGACAAGATTGAAAATCTCACAAAGCTGGAAATTAGAAAACGTCAGGCATGAAACGTTTCTTTTTTATTTCGCCTATTTCAGATATGTCAGACAGCCATGAATTTTCTGTTTGTTTGGCTCCCATATTTGGAAATTCTCCAAAATTATTATTGTTCATCGAATTTGTGGAATACTACAGAATTCAAGTAAAATCATTAATATAATTTTTTGGAGAGCTTAAATTTTATTTAAGGGTGCTTCTCATTTTCTCGTTTATGTATACGAATCAAACGAATATATGGAAAAGGCGCTGAAAATTTATGAACAAATGAGATTGATTGACATTATTCGAATAGGAAATGAAACAAAATGTTTGAAAAGGCACCGATGTCGACACGAAATGCAATTGCAGGTATTTTTGAAGACGGCGGTCGAAAATGAATTAGAATCACAAAAGCGATCATCTTCGGCAGGTTGTTTGATATTTCGATGATCCGTAGTACGGAACCCCGAATTCACATTTATGGTTCACACTTGCTCAAGATGCTCGTTTTTTTCCCAACGGTAACAATTCATTTACATACTTGACGCAAAACTAACAAAAATTTTCCGCGCTTTTGATATGTTACTGTAATTTTACATATCTGAAATAATCAATAAACGCGTAACCAAAACTATTGCGAAAGAGCTTCCTGAATTCGACTGGAGGAAAAAGAGCGTGGGCGATAAAATTCGCCTCTACTCCGAGCAAAATTGGCGCCTTAATATAAATTTGAATTACAGCCTCGAAAAAAATGTGATATTTCACAGTTAGTCCATTTGATCGACTGTGATACCTTAGAATCAAATAGTTTCCGTTATCTTTTATAAATTTAGTACGTGGAATTTTCAATTTTATTCTGTTATCACATCGCATCACATTAGTTTTGCAAACATTTTGTTAATACAAAATTGTAGTTTGATGGGTGTAGTTCAACCGGAATGTAGAAGAAGTTTGGTTTAATACAGAAAACATGAGACAGACAGCAACATGGAAGGGTTATTTCCTATTACTCTAAAGGTTCACTTTTTAAATTACCGAAATACAAAAACCAAATTTTGAAAATATGCGAATTTCTGCGAGTAAACTTAACATTTAATTATTCTACAACTCAGCGAATATTTGGACAGTAAGGGCTGGTAGTAAGTGGAAAATTGTCGATTTGCGACGACCTAAGCCGGTCCCTTGAGGTTGGCTTGATATGAAGTAAAGCGAACTGTCCACAACTAACTTTTTACGATTTCGAAATTCGAGCAGATATTTTGTGAAAGGGCTCAAATGCACGCGTAATTCAGGATTGTGTTTATCGATCCCGGCGGTTGTCAAAATGGGTTGCGACTGTGGATTTGGATGAACGACTTATGAATGTAGAGCAATCAAAACCGATTTCGCAATTGTTACGGTATAAGAAAAAATAAAAAGATTTGATTCAAATAAAATCCGCAAATTTATCAGATCTCAAAATAACGATTACATTGCTGAACTTCGCTTTCGATGTCAGTGGACACTTCGGTACTCTGAACTTTCGAAAGATTCAGAAATTACGCAAAATAATTTCAAAAATTTCCTGCCGATGCTTAAATGGCATAATACGAGCCATATCGCACCACAGAATCATACAACAAAGAGCATTATTCGGCCTGAAAATGTAGCATGTGTTTCCTAATATGTCCGATATATTTTATTTTAGGTTGATTCAATGGGAGTTCATGGCGTTCAAAAGTTTTCTAAAAGTTACCATGTTCAACTGATTGACCCAAAAATCGCTGTTGTTAGGTTATTTACAAAAAATTGAATTATGCAAAAACAATATTTGCAGACACTATCGATACACGGAAGGATGGTCGTATTTTCTGCGCGAAGCCGAATCATTCGGACCCTTCTCTAATTTTTCACTTGTAGCGCCATTAGAAAACATATTATTTCAAAGAATTCATGAATTTTTAATAAATTTTGAATGAAAATTTTGATGATTTTTGAGTGGCCGAACTCAATGGCCGAAGTTTTTGTAAAATAGTGTGACCTTCGTCGGTGAAATCTGTGACTCTAATGGATGATATTATTTTCCGTTTTCCGCTTATTCTTGTTTAAAACACATTTTTTTGCAGAATGTCATTTACTGTCAAAATATGCATTGATGAAAGAGAATACCGAGCTCAAACGTTTAATGAGGAATCGACAGTAACTTTAGAAGAAATTTATATCAAAAATACATTTATTTCTTGCAGATCTCGGAAGTTTGTCCTGGAGCTCTCGTGATCTGGTGCAATTGCGTTAAAATTTACGATTATTCTGTTCCAAATCTTGCTCTTAACCCGTCTACTAGACTTGTTGTGAGTGTTGTTGTTGGTTATTCTAGCAAACAAATTATTTTTATGATTAGGATCTCGGTGTGGTTCAAAGCTCATTTCTTCATGCTTTCACTCAAAATTTTCCAAATCCTGCGGTATTTTATTGTTATAAAAAATATATAACGGAAGAAATAATCATATAGTTTCAGCCGAATTCAACTGTCGCACTCGTTCCAAAAGCAATGTTAACAGCTCAACGATTTGCTATTGCTGCTTCGCGTCGATTTGAATTAAGCAAGAGGCAAAACAGATTGACCCGAAATCAGCCGTCTGGATCTAATCCAAGAATAAATAGAAGCGCAGCCGAGCGACTTCTTCAGCTTCTCAGTCAGGCGGTAGAATTTTATTGATAATAAAAAATTAATTTCACATTTTAGGCTCTACCGAACGTTAAAGCAGACGATTCTTGGAAAGAAAAAGCGAGAATTTCTTACGAAAGAGTACGTTTCAACAAATGAATAGAATATGACGATATTTCAGATGAAAGCAAGCAACGGAGCCTACTTAGCTCTAGACGCTCCACAAATAACCGAGAAGTTCGAGAAGAATCCCAACATGAGCTTTGGTTTGTTTACACTAAAACGAACTGATAATTTTATTAATTGCTTTAAGAAGAATATTATGCCATTTTCAAAGAATATTTTGATGAATTAGGGCGAAAACAGCAATTAATGAATGATCCAAATTCTGAAGAGGGACAACGGCTCATTCAACAGTTGATCAATAGAAATCGAATTGCTAGACAGTATGATGATGTGAGGCTTAATAAATTCTTATACCTATGATATTTCGTTTGTAGGCCATTGAACATCATCCAGAAACTATGATTCCAGTCACAATGCTTTATGTGAATGCTACCATAAATGGCCATCCTGTAAAGGCTTTTATTGATTCTGGTGCCCAAGTTTCGATTATGTCGTTGGCATGTGCCCAACGGTGCAATTTGACTGATGTGATTGACCGGCGATTCCAGACCCTTTGCCATGGTATTGGAGGTGTAAATCGCGCATACGGAAAGATTCATCTATGTAATAAAGTTTATTTTATTTAAAATTAGTTATTTTAATTTTTAAGGTGACGTAAAAATCGAGAATGCTCATTTTTCATGCCCGTTCACGGTTGGAAAAGATCCAAAAATGGACCTTTTAATTGGATTGGATGTGCTTCGCAAACATAATTGTTGTATAAATTTAGCAAAGAATTGGTAAGTTTTTTCATTAAATCTTCTGAAAATAGTGTTTTTTTAATTAAATCAAAAGTTTAGAAAATGACACTGTAATAAGGCTGATTGATCTAACATATTCTATTTTTTTCAAACATTAAATAGATCCTTAAAAATATAGTTTTAATGTATTCTAATTCAATCGATGATGTGTTCATTATTGAAAGTGAAATGTTTAGCCTCGAGTTCCCAAATGGAACGTCGACTCCATTCCTTCAATCGAACGAAATCGAAGCGTTTCTCGCCGAAATTATTGGAAATTCAACAGATAATGGAGAGCCAATGGATCAGTCGGGACCATCGAACTAATATGTTGTGACAATGCTTCGTGCATACCTGTAAATAATAGATCTTGCCAATTCAGTAACTAACCAGATTAATCGCAATGGGAAAAAATTACACTCGTTTTGTACCGATTATTTATTTATTTTTATCGGGTTTTTTTTTCGTAATTATGATTTTATATTTACTGGCTAATGGTTTAAATGCGATACTCGCTCCTTCTTTCCTTCCTTCCTATGTCACTCGTCACCTTTTCCTATCAATGAATTGTGCAATATTTTTAAGCGCGTATGTGGCCTAGTTTCTATAGCTACCCAGCATTCGACCACAAGTCGGCGAAAATCATTGATTAAAATGACGATTATGCCGAAGATCAGTTTGGGAACTTATCTCGCACATGGACAACAGGTATTATATTTAAATATTGTCAGGCACCGATGAATTTCTTAAATTTGAAGTGCGCGGGCGGGCTTTTAATAATTCTATGGAAAATCGGCCTCTATCAGTGGTAGACTACCATTTTTTTCTAGCATTTAACTAACTTTCCGCTGTCGCTGCGAAATTTAAATCAACACATTTTTTAAGCTTGAAAAGGCAGTCGAATACGCTTTGAAGTGTGGATATCGTGGTTTTGACACGGCCAAATTTTACGAAAATGAGAGAGATTTGGGAATGGCGTTAAAGGTTTCTTGTTTTACATTTTAAAATGTTTTTTTTCTCCAGTGTGTGCCTTTGTTCCATCTTCGCTTCGATCCGAGATTTTAAACGTGTTAAATTCGAAAATTTTGATTTCGTAAACCCTATGACCACCTGTGACACTTCTGACACGTTTAAGTATAATTCTCTGAAATTCCCCACCGCTAGTATCACGTTCTATAATTTTCAAAAATTTTGAACACTTGATACTTTTCGTTTTTTTAAGCTTGCAAGGTCGATCCCGTTGGGTCGAGTTTTCGATCAACTCCGAAATCGATCGATATTTTGACGATTATGAGATCGATATCCCACACTTGTTTTAGCATTAAAAATGATTCCCCCTCCAAATTATGTATATAAACCTGTTTACAGAAGCATCTTCCTCGCTTCGGTTTGAAATCTGAAGATATTTTTCTTACGACAAAAATTTTTCCGTATTCAAAAAATACGCAAAAGTGTCTTATCGCGGATATTGAAAAATCAATGCAATTTCTCAACAGAAGGTCTCGATTTGTTGTCATATGTGCACACAAAAGCTTTTAGATATCTAGATTTGGTATTGATTCACTATCCAAGGCCGTTTGATAACGATAACAGCGATTTAAAAAATATTGCAAGTCGTCGTGAATTGTGGAATGAATTGGAGACGCTAAAACGTAATATATTATAATTAAATACAAAGCTTTATGCTATTCAGAAGTCGGATTGATTTCTTCGATTGGTGTATCAAATTATGAGATTCGACATATTGAAGAAATGTCGAAGTACTCGGATGAAAAACCAGCAGTCAATCAGATCGAATATCATCCTCATTTCCAGCGCAAGAATCTGAAAAATCATTGCGATAAGAATGGAATCATTTTTCAGGTTCGTGCTACTTCTAGATTATAATATATTTCTCTACAAACACTGAACGCTCAGAAAAAATTTAATAGCTTCTCACCAAATCGTAAAGCGCAGAGCTTTTAAGTAATTACTTTACGAAATAATATTAAATTTTGGATTGCAAGAACCTTGAAGCTCCACAAATAGCAAAATTTGATCATTCGCACGTACAATTAATTTAGTTAGCCTCCCCCGGAGTTCTGTGGGTGTTGTTTTTGCATTGTTTTTGTCATTCCTTTCTCGTTAACAACGAACAAAATAAAAAATTTCAGGCATTTTCACCACTCGGAAGACAGAGTAAACAACTGCTCGAAGATGAAAATATTGCAAAAATCGCTAGAAACCATAATATAACTAATGCGGTAAACTTTTTTTCAACGAGAACTATATTTGTAAGAATCTAAATGTTTTAGCAAGTCATTTTGAGTTGGGCTCTTCAAAGTGGTGCTTATATAGTCCCAAAATCTGTGACAGAAAAACGAATTGAAGAGAACTTCAAGGTTCGTTGTCTTCATTAAAAATTCTCCATTATTTAATATCCAAAAGTTCAGATTTCGAAGCTGTCATTGCATGAAATGAATGAAATAAACGCATTAGATCGCGAGTGTCCTTATACGGAAGACAACGGATGGCTGTGTGTTTGAAGTTATTCAATTTATGTTCATTTCTCAAATGAAGTGCTCCCTTTCATGTACTTGTGTAGATGGAAGGACCCAATGGTTTTTGGTCGATACTTGAAAATTGTGCAAAAAAAAACCGTTCGAACGGGAATTTTTCAAATGTCATATGATGAGCCAAAATAATTTTATATTTTTGATTATGATGACGTTTTGTGCGGGATTGTCACGATTTTTTAGTGTGAAAATCCCTTCTTGATTTGATCAAATTTCATTTTCTGCACAAGGTTTAAAAAACAATACACCTATTAAAAAACGATATACCTAGATCGTCATCAGAAAATGTTAAGCTACCTAGAAACGTTTTTTTGAATAAGTGGAACATTTTTAGATACTGATGAATAAGCAGAAGATGCGATCCGAGTGAAAATTGGTTTGATGAAAAGAACCAAAATAACCTAATATTTCTAAGTTCAAAATTTGAATTTCATTAGTTTCTTTGAGTTTTTACTTAAAAGAATACTGATTATTGGTGTGGCCTGTCATAAAATGTAATATGAAAAAATCTTTATTTTTACTTCTAAATGTTTGAAACACGAAATTGAGAATAATTTAGTTGGTTGATTTAAGTTTGAGCCAGTCAAATTCTCATTCACATGACCGAATTGCACTTCCTTCCTTATTCGATTTCAGTGATTTGAAAAATTCTCATTTCGGCCCCCGCCCACCGAATATGGAAACAAACCCTCGAATTGACGCCGAAAAAAGTTGGAAACACATTTTTCATAAACAATCGCGTTTTTTCCAAATGGGAAATGTAGCGTAAGAACGTTTTTCCACATACACAATAATCGACGAATTGTTTATTCGAACCAATCGGCATTTATTTATTTGAAAAAAAAAAATGAATTATGCATTTAGGATATGATACGGAGAGCTATTTCAAAAAAAAAGTACAGGTGCTCAAACAAAAATGTACAAACAATTGTATACAAAAGAAATAATAGGACATTGCCTTTATTCCAGATTGTGTTTTCGAATAGAATTAAAAAAAAACTTCCATGAAAACATTTTTCAATTTTCACTTTTTTCCGCAAGTCTGCGAATGAGCCGGTTGACAATAAATTTGGAATGTGCTCGGTAGATGAAAATGGAGAAAGAGTCTTCTTTTAAGGAATTTCAATGAACACCAAAAATCTGAGATAGTATTGCAATCGCCACCTTGTGCATATAAAGGTGAGTTTGATTCTCGTAGGCTATCACATTTCACGAATTCACACATTTTAATTCGAAATTTGAATTACCGCCGATTTTTCGAGGCGGCAATTCAAATTCGAAATTAAACATTGGGAGTTCGAAAAACGTACTCTGAACAAATTCACCGTAAATCGGCGAAAGATGCTCGTTTTTTGCGAATGTGATATTTATTATAGGGTTACTGGAAAAGTAAGAAAGTAAGTGGAAAAAAATTAGCTAAATGCCAAATCAATGTACGTTACAGTATTGTTACTTCGCGGTGTGCGCCTTTAATTGAAGCTACGGCACACAATTTTGGGCGAAATTCATGTTTTTTCGCCAATTTTTAAAAATGATCGAACACTTGTCACGATTTGACAATATGCCAGGTATCTCGAGGCAACGACACGTGTGTGTGTCTGCGTACTCTGCATTTTAGCCTACGCGCAACTAATATTTTTTTATAGCCGGCACGTAAATTTATAATTTCGTAAATAGATTTACATAGATTTTGCGAAATTAAATTTCCCGCAATCGTTAAGTCATTTGACGACGACAATATTTCTTTATAATTTTAATTAAAATCATAATTTCAGAAAACATGAAAAATTTGAATCAATCAAATCCTCAAGACAATTCATTCTCGTGCTATTCCTTCTTTGTCTCATTTTTTTTGAGAATTTTTGAATTACAGACGAATATTCAATGACAATGTGACATTATTCGAATCGGAAGAAGATAAGTCTGTATGGACTTTTCTATGCTTGGTCCAAAAAAAAAACAAAAAAAAATTTAAAAATTTAATGCCCTCCGAAGATAACGAAATTTCTTCAATGTGTGCTTTTTTCTCTATAATTTTTTACGCTTTCACGTCATTTGAGACTACTATAGTAGATTTATGAAATTTTAAAAATTTTCTGTGATAAATTCGTGCCAAGAGTCTATCATTGTCTAATTATTTTTTGCCCAAAACACGCATTCTTGTTGTTTAATTGCTTACATGCATTATAAAAATAATTTCTTGCTATTTTTTGGTTGAAAATTGAAAACAATTATGTGCGTGTAAAAAATTGTTTCACTTCTCTGAAACATGGCATGGAATTCGTCATACGGTTCATTTGCCTGATGCTGTTTTAATTATGTATGAACATCACAAAATAGTGGGCGGGTTTCGTTCGAATGGCCCAATGGAGTGGGCGTGGCCAACAAAGCGCGCCTCCTTTTTTGGCGCTCTCAGCTGTGAGCCCGCCTAGCCACATTCGCCCGTCGATTCATATTTTCTTTGCGTTTTCTCGGACCGACTCCGACTCCGAAGAGAACTCCAAGAGCACAATATGGGAACACTCAGGTAGTTTCTATTTCTCAATTCCTAGTATTGATTACTGAAAACCACGTGAGAAAGAGAAGTGTGAGAAATGCTCAATTATTAGCGAATGGGCAGCTACTAGGGCAGCCACCACCTACGATGGCACTTTGTGAATAGAAAAAAAAGAGAAAATAATTAGGGGGGCTTCGAAAAAGCGGAAGGATTCTTTTCTCTTTCTTTTCGTCTATTTTTGGTTGGCCATTGGGATTATGCGCATAGCCAATAAGGCGAATTTCTCGTTTTCAAAGCATTATTTTTTTGTACGCCCGGAATTTTTTTGAGATATTCAAAAAGTGCACTGAACGATATATGGCAGACCGTTTTTTTTGTATAATTTTCTTGCTGCACTTTTGCATTTTCATGTGAACGAGAAAAAAATATGTATTGAGAAAAAATAATATTTTTAGCCGCGAAAAAAAAACGAAAACGACTTGGTTGCCAAGCATCGAGTTCTATTGTTTAAAAAAACAACAGAAATTTTTGCGTCCTTCTCAATGTCATTATTTAACTTTAAGATTTCATTTGGGAAAATGAAGCTGATAATCCGATTTTTGAGTCTAAAAAACTTTTGTGTGTGTGAATATTCTTGATTTCACGTCTCGCCATGTCGACGAGAATCTCAAATTTCAACAATATTCGATTCCTTTTTGTTGGACGGTGAAATTGAAGGAAAATGTGTGTTCTTGACATTCATTCGTCAAAATTCTAAAAAAAATTTTAAAAACTCGCGTAATTTATCGAATTCGCATTCGGATGGGAGGCAAAGACGAAGGCGATTGGAAGTTGGCGAAAGAATCGTCATTCAAATAAATATTGCAACTCACGTTTTTAATCGGTTCATCCTTCGCCTGTTAAGAAGCAATTCGTTATTTGAAAAAAATTTTTTTAGAAACAAAACAATAAATGATTTATGAATGGAATACTTAAATTTCATTTCAGCTTCCGCTTAATTTCGAATGACATCATTTGATCATAATTTTGCTTTTTAAGATCTCAATTTTCATTTAATTATAGTGGGCGTACAATTGTTGGACATCGAGAAGTATATCAACATAATAATTTCTCTTATTGGGTTTCCAAAAACGGTTGGTATTGCCGATTTTTTTTTCAGCGATTTCTGCTCTCTCTCTGCAAATATTACAATGAGTCTCTGATGCATTTAACATTTTTTTCGTATTTTTTTTGCATTTGATATCAACTGGAAAACGCCTCTAATTTGCCGTTTCCGCCATCGAGAGTACTCGCGTAAAAAGCGCCTCACTTATTGCATTTCGACAATTCTGCGTCTCTCGATCTCGCCTACTCTCTCAATCACATTTTCCCTTTTTGGATCGAAACTCTTTTTTTGCCAAATTGTAGTTGTGTCAAGAAGAGTTCAAGAAACATTGTGTGGGTTAAACGAACGAGCAATTATCTCACCTGACTATGTTTAGTTCAAAATACATAAAAACCCTTTTGGAAATGCTCTGCAAGAATTGAGTCGAATATGCTCATAAAAACCGTTGTTGCGTATCAGTTCTCTAAAATATTAATATGTCGTCCAATTCGGCTCGATGACGATAAAATATTTTCGAATTTGAAAAATTCCAATTCTTTTTTTTTGCTGAAAACGACATAAATAGTCGATTGCAAAAGAAAAGAGCAAATTTGATCATTATTTCGTCGATGCGTCAATTACCTTTCGTTTCTCAGGAAACCAGCAATTTTCCAAACATTTTCTTGTCGTTTTCTATTCGAATGTTCTTCAATTATTATCCGTCATCCACCTGCGTTTTTTTCTTTGCCGTCGTCGTCGAGAAACCCGCGGAAATAAATTCGCCGCAGTAATTGTGCATTGTGAATTGGGACCAAATGTGCCGTTTGGACCACGTGCAAACGTCAAAAGTATAATTCAATTTGAGATTTGAAAGAGTTTGAAGTGCACAATTATTACAATGCAATTGTGGAACTCTGCCCGAACAAAAAAGGTCCGAAATGTGAATTTAAAACTAAACGAAATGATGAGAAACTTTGAAAAAAATACGCATTAAGGTTTTAAGCAGAATTCTAGCAATTCTAGCATTGATTTAATGTTTAAAACGTTTACTGTGATGAGACTTCAACGATGCCTCGAATATTTGGCCATCATTACTGCAAATAAATAAAAGGCTTGTTATAGAATTTTCCATCAAAAATAAATTGAATGAAATTGAAAGACCCAAAATAGTTTCATATTCTTTCGAAGTAGTTTTAGTTGAATATTCAACGATTTTTTTCAATTAATTTATTTTTCTGATGAGAAAAGAAACAAGTCGATGGAGGGGGATTCGACGAGTTTGTAATACACCATAAAATAAGTAGCGTGATTATTATTTTTCATGTGCTTGTTTGTCTTCTTCTTCTCCTCTAAAATGCCTCAAGCACACCATTAAAAAGAAATGCGAAT